AGCTCACTCACATCGAATGTGCAGGAGTTCCCTTGGACAACAACCGAATGTGGAGGCGACTAATACTTTCAAAGTTTCCAAACTCGCTGAACGAGAAAGTACTTTGCAAAGAGCAGAATGAAGAAAAGTCATTTACAACAGAGGAAATCTTAGATGTTCTGGAAGATGCAGTCGCTTTGAAGGAAACCCTCGCTTTTACAACATCTGCATTTGAACAGTGCGATGTCGCGGGACGTTCCGATTCCGATCAAGCTATTGATGAGAGGCAGAACTACGAAGAAGACTCAATCTCATACAATTATAAACATAACCAAAGAAGTACATCTTCGGGAGATTCGAGTCAATGCATCTGCGGAAGTTATCAACATGATGCGACGCGATGCACAACATTCCAAACAGCGGCAGAGCGACGTGATGAAGCCAGGAAACAAAGGCTGTGCTTCAGATGTCTTCAAACCGATCACAGGATTAGTGATTGTACAAGCTCACAGTCCTGCTACAACTGTCACGGAAACCACCACACTGCCATATGCATGGGTGACTACTCAGCATCAAGAGGCACCCCAATCAGACGATCGCAGCAACGATCTGCTCGCGACCAACATCTTACAAGAGACCCTGAATTTGTGCAAAATTCTGAAATTCTCCACAACAAGAACACGAAGCGAGAAGGAGGAATGCAGCACGTACTGATGACGGCAACTGCACTCGCATACGACTACACATCGACCAGCTATAAGCCCGTGACTGTCTTCTTTGATGGAGGTGCACAAAAGAGCTTCATTAATACAAGGAAGACCCAAGCTCTTGGCTTACCAGTGCTGCAAAACACCACCTTCAAGATTGGCGGCTTCGGAGGATCTACCGCAATTTTCACATCCTGTGAAGTCCCGCTTACTCTGAGAACAACGTCTGCTGGAGTCGCTGTCAAAGCTGTGAAGATACATAGAAGGTCAGTACTCACTTCCGCGATGAGCACAGCTTGGTTAAGCGCAGAGGATAGAAGGTTGATTCGAAAAAAGAAAATTCGAATAGCACAACCTGATCTGAAAACACGACGAATTACACCGGACATTCTCATTGGTCAAGATCTCATTGACCAGTTCATCTTGAGAAATCAACCATCTACAACTCTTCCGTCCGGTCTTATTCTGACGCCCACTGTTTTCGGTCATGCAATCTCCGGAAGCAGTACCATCTATGGACTCAAGATGCAGGAGTATTTGCAGAACACTGCGATCACCATCGCCTTCCACAATCATCCACATGCAACTTCCAAACGCCGCTCAAAAAAGCTCAATCGTCCGGATCTGATAAATACGCTCGCACAATCTGAAAAGTCATCAACGAAACGCGAAAGCTGCCAACGTAACAACGCATCTCGTGGACGACAATTCGATCGCAAACGACGAAAACTAAGGACTAATGGACAACCTGTGAACAAGAATGCTGATGCTGATACTCAACTGGGTTGTCCCGCTTCAGCGTCGCGCCTGGCCCCGAAGGCCGATCAGGGCATGATGGCCGACCACAGTACGATTTTTAGACGAGGACAACAAACCTGTCGTAGAAACCATGTGATATATGTAACTTAGCTAATGTTGTGATAGTGTAAATTGAATTTGTATAACGCTTCATGTAACATTGTAATTTGTATTCTCTTGCTATTCTTTCGCGCCTTCCGTCGCGCGCCCCACTGTCGTAGATTATCTAAATAATCTACAACCTTTAGCATTGTAGATCTACCGTGTTTGTTATATTCAATATCTGATAGCTTGTCGTCGACAAACGTTACTGTTCACTGACCACTTAAGCCGCCAGGTCACCCCTCAACTGTGCTTGATAGTCTACTTGGCGGCGCCTACTTTCATGTAGGCAATCCTTCATGCTGTATGATACTATTGTTTACCAGAAGTGAGCATTCAGGTTATCCACGCCCAAAATAGTGGCATAAAAGAGCCTGAATACTCAGTTCTGGTGTTGGTTCGATTATTACCACTATCGTCAGCGGCTGTTCCGCACATTTACTGTTGATAGTCAGCGGCTGCTCCGCTACTTTCGAATAAACAGTTATTAACGTAGTGGTACCAGCTTGGTGTACACCAAACAAGGTCTAGAAAAGCGCTCATTACTTTCGCACCAAACCTAATACATTTCGAAGAGTCTGTAAGGTCAATGTCAAGGACTCTTTTGCAAACACATGATTTTTTTCGTTCCCATAGTACAAAGAAAAAAGAACGGTTTTGTTTGTTTGAACAAAACACTCCGGCACTACTCGCACCCTTGTATAGTACACTTCCGCGTTGCTGATGAGTTCTGCTTTGTTCATTCTGTGTATCTTAGTACCGCTTGGAGTATTGTATGGTCCCTCTTCTAAGCTCATCATTTATAGTAACTTCCCAATAACTTCCCTACTTTTCCAGAAAACCAACTCTTTTGGAAATTCGCTCGGTCCGCCTAATCGTTTACGAAGATTTAGGCGCAACAATTGCGACGCCAGTCTGATTTCAGCGCTGAAAGAATTTAGCATGCAAATAGGGGCGTTTTCATCCTTTACCCATTGTCCTTCACCTACTTTCGTTCGCCGTTATTCTCTCAATCAACAAGCATCATGTCTCATTTTTCTAACGTCACGCGATGAATTCCGGAAGCTTGACACCTTTCCGAATTATATCTTTGTGTCTGAAATTGAATTTTTTGATTACCTTAACTCCCACTTGCCACATATCGAGCAGGATACAACGTGATTTGATGCATATAATATAATCCTTCACCATGTAGCTTTCTTTTATTTTATTTTTCACCTAGTTCTCAACTTTTTTTGCATAGGAATTTTTACTTTCACATTTTCTCAGTTACACGTTTAGCGTTACCTACTAGATGGTCATAACTTCTCAAACAATTGCACCGTACAAACTATATCATAACCACTCTGGCTTCAAGAACGCCAATATGCAGTATGTATGACCTCTCTTTCCCCTTCACCCGACGCTTTTCTTAAGGAAAAAAACTAAGAAAAACTATAGAGTTTGAACAAAGTATAAGTAAAAAATATTAGGTTGTTCCGAAAGTAATGTCGCTTTTTTCAAATGCCACATTTCATGGCAAGATTTTCAAGAGATCTTAGGAGGCGTTCGATGCGGCATTTCATCCTCTTTCTAATGGTTGCAATTTTATTGCATAATTTTCAATGAACTCTCGAAAAATCAACAAAAACTGCGACTCATGCTTTTTGCCATGGTCAAGTTCGGCTATTTTTCAAAATTTTTCTACCTATTCTCCGAAGAAGTACAAGTGACAGGTGAATAGAGCAAACCCTATAGGAAACAGAGTATTTTTTTCTTTTAATCAGCTTGCTTCTTAGAGTTTCTGGAATCAATTTTAAAATGCCATCAAATTCCATATTTAGTCAAGTCAAACCTCACATAACAACAACCGGCAAGCGACTCGCGTGTCATTCGACGCAGCTTTTTCTCCTCTTTCCACCAGTTGTTTTTGATTTCCGATTCATCAGTTTTTCCGAGATAAAATCATCATAATTCAGGTTTTCCAGGGCGCCCTAGGTTGTACCCGGATTTTTCGAAAGTTGCTAATCTGAAGCGGTAGACGCTCATTTGCTTTGTAAAATTGGTGTACCATAGTCCATCTTTGTAAGTTTCAAAATCCGAAGATTTCTTGGTGTTTAATGCATTTGTGTCTGAGACGATCCTGCTAAAATTTGGCGGCTCCATCAAAAAATCTATACAAAAATTATGACGAGCTCTGGAAAGTAGAAAAAATTTGTGCTGTTTCCTGTAGAGTTTGCTCTATCCTTCCATTCTTGGACTCTTTCCGGGGGGGGGTTGTTATAAGTTTAGGAAAATTGTGAAACTTGACCTTCTCAAAAAGCATGGGTCGCAGATTCTGATAATTTTTCCAGAGGCAATCAAATTTGTGCGGTAATTATATAACCATTAGAAAGAGAATGAAATGCTGCATCAAATGCTACCAGAATCTCTTACATATCGTATTTCCACGAGATGTGGCGTACGTTTAAAAAAAGCGACACTACTTTCGGAGACCTAAAATATACACGCCGAGAATGAACTTTTCATGAAAGGATAACGTAATTTCCTTTAATCTGATAATTTCTTGAGTTCTACATGTAGTAAAGCTTAAGCACCTCTCTTCTTTGTACTCCCTTTATTGCATTAAGAAACCATTGCCTCCTTTTCAGGTAAATGTGCTTCATTTTTTTTATTGATTTTTTTCCTTTTTTGTCCAAAAAAATAAAAAGCTAGAGGTATTCGTTAGAGGTGTTCTATACGAACTTCGTAGTTCGTATTGTTCTTCTCTCTCTCTCTCAAAATATATAAACTCATCACATCCTTGTAGTTTAGTCATACTTTGCCAGTTGCAAAGCATCGATGATTTGCATCGTTTTTTACTACGGGAGGAATTTGCAGATGTTGGCATCAGATGTGAATTGCTCATGGTTTTTTAGTTACCAGTAGGATGTCGCGCGCAGCTGTGGCTTGATGATGTGATCGTACGCATATAAGTAGCTGACAGTGCACACTCAGAGTTATTCACTTGTACTACTTTTGCTCATTTGCTTTAACATTATTCACTCACATATCTTGCCTTCTTCCAATCATAGCATTCCTATTTGTAGTTCATCATTTAATAGTATATTTTGTTATTTGTTCTATCCGTGTTTGTTGTTGTTATTTGTTTTCTTTGATAAAGTTTAATTACCCAAGTTTGAGGTGTGCTCGTGTTGTCCAACGCTCAAGACCCGCGTGGCAGATAATCTTTGTGGTTGTTGTTACAAGTGGTATTCGAAGCCTTATAGTTCTGACTATATCCCAACCACTAACCAATACAACTGGTGCATTGGCCGAACTAAGAAGGTACACATTATTGCGACAGAGACAGCTTCCTTTGCTTTGCTTGCACGTCAGAGCTACGATTGAACAATAGAGATTTACCGTCGCAGCTTATTTATCAGCACTTACATCATGACGACAACAATAAGAGCATACAAAGGACTAGTGACAAAAAGGAATGATGTGGCACTGAACTGGCTACAAGAGTCGGCTCAGCTCCTTCAAAGGATAGAACAAGGAGGCGTAGCAGCGCAACGCGAACGAGCCAAGGAGATCACGATGGACATCACCACATGCGAGGAGTACATAGATCTTCTGGAAGCTTCAGTAACCAAGTTAACGAAAGCCTTCGACGGTCTACAAGACGCCACCGACGAAGAAGAAGATCAACTAGACAAGTACGTGGAGAGCGCACAAGGAACAATAATGAAGCTGCATGCACACCGGTCCCAACTGAGGAAGTGGCAGACTGACATCACGGGAAACACGCATAGAATGGGAACCGATTTGGCAAGTTCTGTGGCAGTCAGCAAGCTCCCTGTGATACCCATCCCTACATTCACGGGGAAGAAATGGGAATGGGACAACTTCTGGGCTTTGTTTAAGGCCAATGTGCACGACCAGGAGTTAACGGAACTCCAGAAATTCAACTACTTGCTTTCTTCTCTGAGTGGAGAGGCGAAGCAATCAATATCTCGATTCTTCGTTTCGGCAGATAACTACGAGAAAGCCATTCAACACCTTGCCAAACGATACGGAGATAAAAGTGGCATTGTACGACAGCTGAACAGGAATCTGAAGAGCTGTTCAGCAAGAGGACCAAGCACATTGGAGCAAAGACAATTGTGGGATAAGCTAGCAGCAATAGCCAATCAGTTGGAAGAACACGAGCAGCACTTGGACAACGAACTAACAATCGATACTTTTCTGGAAAAATTCCATGTACGCATACGAAGAGAAGCAATGGACAAACAGTTGAGGAGCGAAGAGGGAAATAAACAAGAATGGACACTAAACCAATGGTTGGACGCCATTGATGAAGCCATTTCACGAGAGGAACAACTAAACGACAGACTCTCGGCAGAATCGCAGCAGATCAAAACTCCGGCACCGACAAACGTAAGAAGAGGCAACGTGTGCGAGTGCTGTGGAAGCAAAGGACACAGGTGGACAACCTGCCCACAAATTCCCACAGCAACGCAAAAGAGGAATTTTTTGCTGGAGTCCAACCGATGTCTAAACTGTGGGTCAAACAATCACAGAGTAGCGGCATGCTTTAGCGGCAACTGCCGAAACTGCAACAAAAAACATCACACTGCGATATGCTCAGAAAAAAGGCCAAGTGAAATGACACAAAGCAGACCACCTATCAGTCAACAGAAGAAGCCGGAGGGAGCGAGAACACCAAAAAACCAGCCGACGACAGCTGCAAAATCCTACAGTTCTTCGAAACAACATGCGGTAACGGAGACACTCGGACAAGACACTCATCTCACAAAACAAGGAGTAACGGAAAGTGCCGATTCTCCAACCGTACTACAGCTAAAGAAGAAGAACGATTGGAAACAAAGTAGGGTAGTTCTACTTACGGGAGCAGTACAAGTGCTTGACGCCGATGGAAACAAAAGAGAAACAATCGTCTTATTGGACACAGGCTCGGAACTCTCATTCATTGGAGAGCAGCTCGCGAACGAGCTCAACTTGCCAACGCTAGGTACAACTTCCCTCGAGCTCAGCACATTCGGGTCATCATCACCGAAAACGAAAAACTGTGCGTTAACGCTTTTGAAGATGGTGGACAAGGAGGGTACACAGCATGAGCTGCAGCTGTATAAGAACGACTATATTACAAGCACCGTACAACGAGCGTGCCTCGATCATGAAGATTTGCAGTTTATCAAGAGAGGAAATTTCGACTTGTCTTTGCCGATAGAAGGTGGAGAGTTGCAGCCGCAAATTTTACTGGGTTGCGACCATCTCTGGAACTTCATGGAAACAAGCAACAAACTGAGTCTACCATCTGGACTGCAGCTGATACCAACGAAATTAGGGTACATCATCAGCGGACGACAAGGAGACATCCCCACGAAACGGTCGGTATCGTGCACTCTGCAAGGATATGAAATCGAGAAGGAGACATGGGATCGCTACTGGTCTCTGGAATCCGCTGGCACAGAAGAATTTACTGGTCCACAGCAAACGGAACTGCAACAAATAAACGAAAAAGTGCTGGAAAACTTCAAGAAGTCTATCGAAAAGAGAGAAGATGGCTATTACGTACGCCTACCATGGAAGGAGAATCACCCAGAACTCCCAGACAACAAGGCACTAGCAATGAAACGCCTCGTTAGAACTCTAGAAATGTACCAGGGCGATAAGGAAATGTTGCAGGCATACGATAACGTCTTCAGCGATCAACGTGACAAGGGAATAATCGAAGAAGTAGCACCGGAGGACGCTGACAATGGAGAAGTGATCCATTACTTACCGCACCAGGCAGTGGTCACCCCTTCTAAGGAGACGACAAAGATGAGGATCGTCTTTGACGCATCAGCCCATTATAAGGATTGTCCCTGCCTCAACGATGTGCTCCATCAAGGTCCTCTTATTTTGCCTGATCTTGTCGGAATTTTGCTTCGATTTCGAATTCCGAATATCGCAGTGATGTCGGATATTGAGAAGGCATTTCTACAAGTACGACTGCAAGAAAAGGATCGCGACGCCACACGGTGCATCTGGGTCAGGAATATCTCACTCCCACCCACGCCGGACAACATAGTGATCTACAGGTTCACCAGAGTTACCTTCGGACTCAATGCTTCCCCCTTCCTCTTGAGCGCTACGATAGATCACCACCTAGAAACCACAGCAAGTGATGACGACATGGCCCCGGAAATAAGAAGGAATTTGTACGTGGACAACTTATTCTTTGGTGCACAATCTTCAAACGAAGCACTTTTGAAGTATGCAAACACAAAGAAGCTCTTCCAAGATCTCAAAATGAACTTGAGGGAATTCTGCTCCAATGACAAAACCTTCTCCAACGCCATTGATGAGGCCGACAAGATGAAATCCACCTGCCCCAAGGTCCTAGGCATCGCATGGAATTCGGAAACGGACAAGTTCATTATCAAAGGCTCGATGGCAACCTTGAAGGGAAAAGATACCAAGCGAACAGTCACACAACAACTTGCTTCTGTGTATGATCCAATGGGATTTCTGGTGCCTCTACTACTACCGGCAAAGATATTCATGCAGTCACTATGGAAGGAAGGATTAGATTGGGACACACCGCTTCCAGCGCAACTGCGTGATCAGTGGCATCAAATAACATCAGAAATTGCAACATTTTTCAAGGAAGTGAATAGACGAATTCTCAGCAAATCCGATGGCTACAGACTCGTCGTTTTCACCGACGCTAGCCAATACGCAATCGCAGCATGTGCATATCTCACCTCTCAAGAAGAATCCAACATCATTATGGCAAAATCCAAACTGCCCTCCATCAAAACCTCGATGACGATTCCCAAGTTGGAGATGAATGCACTAACGCTGGGCGTAAGAATGTCTCGCTTTATTTGTGAAATGTTGGAACCATCCTGCAAAATCAATGAAGTGATTCTATACACAGACTCGGATATCGTGTTAGGGTGGATAAGAACCCCTCCATCGCGACAAAGCGCAGGCATTTTAGTCACAAACCGATTATCAGAGATTAGACGAATCAGCAATGATCTCCGCAGTCAAAGCACCACGTGTCTCTTCGGACACGTCTCAACGGCAGAAAATCCAGCCGATTGCGGAACAAGAGGACTATCAGCAGAAGCTTTACAGAACCATATCTGGTGGACAGGACCTGAATTCACCAACAAACCGGATCATTCAAAGCTGAGTACGGTTGCTGATTTCGAACAATCGACAATGATATCAGTGGAGGCAGTAACTCTAAACCCGTCAGAAGAGGTATCTAAGGACGAAGTGGTCGACTTGAGCAGATACAGCACCCTTGAGAAAGCTCAGAGAGTGCTAGTGTATGTACTTCGATTCATAAACAGATCCCTGAGTCATTTTCCCCACGAAAGAAGATTGGCAATACAACAACACATACCGGCTCTCAAGGAAATTTCACCGTCACAAACCATCATCGGGATCGAGATGCACGAAAGTCGAATGTGCTTGATTCGAGACCATCAGAAGAACTATGTGAACGAGCATCAGATCAGGTCGCAGAAGGAACTGAATATCCGACAAGACGAAAAAGGAATCCTGCGCTGTTACGGACGTCTACAACAAGCAGATGTACCAGTAACGGCAAAAACACCAATCTACATTGCACCCAAAACTATGTTGGCACGTCTAATCATCTCGGAAATTCACGGTCATTATCACCGTGGAGTTGCTCATACCATGGCCGCCGTACGCGAAACGTATTGGATACCCAAACTCAGACAGCAAGTGCGAAGTTGGATCCAAAAATGTGTCCCATGCCAAAAGATGAACAATCTTCCTTTTATCTACCCTGACATGGAGGCATTACCAGTGACAAGAGTGCACCGTACGCGTCCATTTGAGCACATAGGACTGGATTATTTTGGACCTCTGATGACCAGTGACAACCATGACGGATCCAACAAGGCATATGGGTGCATCTTCACATGCCAAGTAACGCGACTCATACATTTAGAGCTCGTGGATAATATGACAACCGAGGCATTCCTAAACGCACTGAGAAGATTTTTCGCAAGAAGAGGTGTACCGCAGACTATCACCTGTGACAACGCACCAACATTCTTGTTGGGAGAGCAAATCCTGAAGGACGCCACAGAGAATAGGGTGCACAGCGCGGAAGTAGAAAGCGAAATAGCCAGGCGAGAAATTAAGTGGAGCCATATAACGCCTTATGCACCGTGGCAGGGTGGATTTTACGAGAGGCTTATCCGCTCCATCAAAAACTCGCTGTACAAAACGCTTGGAGTACGCACCGTCACCTTTGACTGCCTCAGGACGATGCTAACAGAGATAGAAGCGGTTTTAAATTCACGACTTTTTACCTATCAGGAAGAAAAATGGGAAGAACAACCACTACTCCGACCAATAGACTTTATCCAAAACAAGATAATTTTGGATTGCCCTCTGGAGTACATAGGCAGAGAAGGTCAAGACAAAGTGTACCACACACCCGAAGAAGCACAGCAGTTGGCAACGCAGCGTCAAGCAGAAGCAGCCCTGAAGACATCCATCGACTTAACCGAACGATTCTGGAAAATTTGGAGTGAGCAATACATCACTAGTCTAAGAGAGCAGCACAAAGTCCGGATGAACGAAAGGCGCGGAACGAAGAAATCACTAAGAGAAGGAGACATCGTACTTCTTTGGGACGCCGTACAACCAAGAAACACATGGAAAACAGCGCGTATAGTACAAGTGGACAATTCTCCGCAGAAAACATTGAGAGAAGTTTTGGTAGAAACACCAAACAAGCGCCGTTTACGACGGCCAATAAATCGAGTTGTACCTCTCGAGATTGGCAAAGAAGAAATTTCGAAAACCTCTCCACCAGAGGTACCAGCCACACGATACAGTCTTCGTCCAAGAAGAGCCATCAGCTACACTGAGCAAGATCAAGAAGAACCGACGCCCAGAAATGCACCAGCATACCCTTTGTCGGTAAAATCATTGCTAACGGTAACGCTACTCTCGATGTGCATAATGGGAACGACGGGAACGAACATCAACGGCAGTTATCACCTTCAATGTATCGAAGGAGGAGTATCTCTACTGCAACCAAGTCAACAGCCCTACGAAATCTGTGCAGAAGACTTTTGCTTGGAGTTCAAAGCACCTCGCCGACAGGAGTTAGTGAAATTTCCTCCACAAATCACTCTGCACGAACAACTCGTGAGATGGAAAATCTTTGATGGAGAAGAGGTTCATATGATGGAAACCACCTGCAAGGCAGCACCTTTTTGCAAACAGATAGACTGCACCTTTTGTGCAGTAATGGTGAGCAACCCAGAATGCTGGCCACGCACTGCCATTATGGTCACCGGGTTGTTAATATACTTGATAATAACTATGTGCTACTGCCTATTTCATGTGCCGGTGTTGATCGGAACTCCGTTACTCTATGGACTGAAGTTAGTCGGCACAGGCGGATGGTGGACATTCAAGATACTATGGCATATGCTGAAAATGGCAACAAGCACATATCGACGTCGAAGAAGAAGAGCATGGATGAGAAACGTCGTTCTTTCAACAGTGCTCTGGAACAGTGGTCTGACAATCGGATGTCAAGATGTCGACGTGCTGACGCATCATACTCAAGCATGCACACAACTTGGAGACGAGGAATACTGCACAGTTGACACCACAGAGGTACTGAAGATCAACCCTTTCAAGCAAGAAGCCTGCATGAGACTTACAAGCAATCAGACCAGTATCCTGGAAATCAAGCTGACGTGGAAGAACCTTAATTTGTTTTGCGAAAAGGAAACTCTCATGTTTTTCAGGAGCACTAGATACGCACTTCTGGATAGCAAACGCTGCCCCCATGCTGGATCATGTACAGGAGAAAAATGCGCAGGGATAAATCGGACATCAAAGGTGGCAGAATTGCAGCGAGTCAATGACTACCCTGGTGTCACTGGATGTGTCGAAAGCTGTGGAGGACCAGGTTGCGACTGCTTTTATCCAAGCTCGGGATGCCTATTTTACAGAATATATCTTGTTCCCACGGAGGACCATGTGTACGAGATCTTCAGATGCCCACGCTGGAAGCAATCGGTAGAGCTACGACTTACCGTAAACGAGCAAGGTTTCTTGCAGCGAACCCACAACTTTCATGTTATCCCGAATCAACCGAGAAACATATCACCGTTTACAATCACCCTTTCATCACTGAGCACGCCACCTACGCCAGCATTGAACTCAATCTTTATCACAGATGGAAGGCGACATGCCATTATGGAAGCACACCAGGAGCCGCCGCTAGTATGTAGAACATGGGAAGACGCGCGGAACCTTACTTGTGATGTGTACGAAGACTGCAAATGCACAGCTGCCGAAATCAAGATGATGTGCGACTGCAAGGAGGTAAATCTCACTTCCTTAATCAGCACCCCACGACGCAGACTGCCGATTATACGACCTAATCTCGAATTTCGCATCTTCGACGAAAGGATCACAGCTCGCATACCACAGCTGCCAACCGCTGAATTTATACTCCGAATGAGTGGCAAAGTTCGCACCATGTCTTTGAGATCCGACGCCACGTGCACTATTGCGAACGCGTACTGTACAGGATGCTACAATTGTGCGAAAGGCGCAACAGCATTGCTCACGTGCATAGCTTCGGTAGCGACAACAAAAGCCGAAGTCCAATGTGAAGACAGCTTTTTCGTCATCCCATGCAGAACTGCACGGTACAATGTGGAAAAGCGCAAGCTGCATTTGAGATCTCAGGCATTCTTCACTATACCGGTAACCTGGATATGGCGGCGAGAAGAGTACTGCAAGGAGAAAGCGAACTGTTTTCCGAGATCAATTTACCCGATTTCACGCACTTAGCGCAGACATTCCTGATGTGGGGCAGTGTATTAGGAGCGACAGCACTGATTGTAATAATCGCCTTGTTGATAACGTACTTCTACGCCTCCAACACTTGTGTATTCTCGGTCATTAGAGCCCTCTGTGGATTACTCTATGCACTGGCTAAATTGGCACATCGAATGGTTCGACTCTCTTGGCTGTTACCATACCGATTTCTTCGAATGCTCTGTTCACTCAGGAAGAAGAAACCAGAAGAAAAGGACTTGTGAGATTGCCAGAGACTACAGCCACAGCGAAAGCGCAGCAACGACAAACTAGCCCGTCCCAAACTCGTTGGTGAGGCCGGAGTATACGAACTTCGTAGTTCGTATTGTTCTTTTCTCTCTCTCTCTCAAAATATATAAACTCATCACATCCTTGTAGTTTAGTCATACTTTGCCAGTTGCAAAGCATCGATGATTTGCATCGTTTTTTACTACGGGAGGAATTTGCAGATGTTGGCATCAGATGTGAATTGCTCATGGTTTTTTAGTTACCAGTAGGATGTCGCGCGCAGCTGTGGCTTGATGATGTGATCGTACGCATATAAGTAGCTGACAGTGCACACTCAGAGTTATTCACTTGTACTACTTTTGCTCATTTGCTTTAACATTATTCACTCACATATCTTGCCTTCTTCCAATCATAGCATTCCTATTTGTAGTTCATCATTTAATAGTATATTTTGTTATTTGTTCTATCCGTGTTTGTTGTTGTTATTTGTTTTCTATGATAAAGTTTAATTACCCAAGTTTGAGGTGTGCTCGTGTTGTCCAACGCTCAAGACCCGCGTGGCAGATAATCTTTGTGGTTGTTGTTCACAAGTGGTATTCGAAGCCTTATAGTTCTGACTATATCCCAACCACTAACCAATACATGTTCGTCAACTTACACTTATCGGCCTCTACTACTTGCTCAGACTGTACAGTTATTCCATTTCAAGATTTTAGCAAATTTTCTCAGAAGGAGGAAGCGCTACAGCTTTGTTTTTTCGAATACAGCAGACCTCGTGCGATTTTTCTCTGAAATTTCGGTAAGCAGTTTATTGGCTTATGGCTAAGGTTTGATGAAACCATCGTAAAACGCTTAATGATTTTGCAGAAGAGTGATGTTGTATATGAACCATTTGTTCTGCCTTAATCGGATATAATAGGTACGATTAGCAAAAGTGGATACCCTGTTTTTCTCTGCAACATACTGATATGAACCTCTCGATTTCACCGATTTTGCGTTTGCTTTCTATTTTTCTTCTAAAGAGAATAACACCAATGTCAGCTTTGTAATCGAATCTTCCTCGTGGTTGTGATTCACTCATTATGAATCTTTGTTATTTCAGTGATTTTTGCAATTTAGAGTATTGAGCCCCAGAAAAAATTTTATCGTAACTTTTGCTAAGTTTGTATAAGGCCCTCCAGCAATTAGCCCAGATCTGACCATGCAGGTGTGTAATAGCCTAGTACACATTCGATTGTATCTAAATCGAATCGAATGCGCGCATCGTAAAGAGGCTTGAAGTCGTTGAAACTTCAAACTTTTTTGTACTTTCTGCTTGTGTTTTTATCTTTACTAGCTGTGTAATTTACGTGCAAAGGTTATGATGTGGTTTGACTGGGTTTTAATGTCGTAAAATTTGCTGTACGTCAATATGCGATGATGTAAGATGTCTAAGGAGGTAAATGTATTTTTACGAGGTATAGTTCCGAACATGAATATGTAAATCTACCAGTAAACAAAATTGAGCAATGATGCTCTCCCTATTTTTTGTGCCTCAGTGAATATGTAGAGCAATGATGAGTCAAGGTTACTTACGAAGTTTGGCTAGATTTTCCTGAGAGAATAGAAAAGGTCTTCAATGACTCTGTTTTGAAATTGTTCCAACATCAAATATAATATATGATCTGCTCTGCTTGAAGACCCGTTATAAATTTTGATTTACAATTTTGATTTTTTTCTCCCTCAAGAACTAGTAAATGGTGGCCCATGAAGCTTCATAATAACATGGTTACAGCATGTGGCACTTGCTTCAAATACTCAACAAAATCACATAATCTATTGACGAAAGCAAAATGTTCTCAGCCCATTTATCTCGGTTGCGACTCCTCGATTTCAAAGACCCATAACAAAATAAAGTTCAAATCCGATTTGCTTTTACATCCGAAATTCGATGCAACTAATCAGGTTGCGCCAGACTTCCTTGTAAACAATTGTATATTTTTTACAGGAGAAGGCTGTATGAGAGTTTTCGAGAGTTTATTTGTGTAGTGGTTAGTACACGTTGCTATTTTTGCATTTTGCACTCTCTTGTACGGTTTACATCGTTGGACCCAAACGAATCAGTGTGGTTCAAAAGTTCTTTGCATACTAATTTATAGCACCGTAATTCCAAGCTTTATGCTGTGCCTTCCGAGAACACATCTCTCATTGGTAAGCTTTAGGCTTAGGCTAACTCAAAAAGCCTAGCTCAGCTTTTCACTACAAACTTGCTCTAAAGCTAATCAGGTTAGGTTGTTACAGTATGAAAGCTAGCTGCTACTCAATGGCAGGGTCGTTTTGAGCGCTCATTCTGAAAAATGGCTTTTTTGGCTATATTATTGGCTATATTGGCTTTATTACAGAATACTCAAATGATTTCACCTGGTAACAAGGTGATATTTCACTGACTTGCCATTATATACTTGTTGTGTTCATTGCTTCAAACCAGGTTTGGGGGTTTACATTGCTGAGCTCCTCACTAAAATTCCTTAGCATGCTATATCTGGGAAAATATTACTAAACATGATCTAATAGTTCTTTTCCCGCTTTGCGAAGTGCCCTCAGAATTTAAAATCCCGGTCTCGTTATCCGATGGAGTGAGCACTTCTTAGTTCGTTTATTAAAATGTGCAAATACCGCGATGATTCTATCTACCGCTTGAAGTATCCAGTAGTGAGGCGCATACAAATTGCCAAATCTTTTCATTGCTGAGGGCCTTCAGTTCTTTTTGCCAGTTAAGAGTGAGTTTGTGTATGAGAATTACTTGCCATTAGTCCAGCAGTAGCCTTCCTTTCCAATGCTTATTTTTGGTAGCTTTCTCAACTCCCACTTCACATTTATATCCATTACATCATCAAATGTAGCAAGGAATTTTCCTCAAAAATATTTGTATTAATCATCATCAAAAATAGGTCATAATTTTGGTTGTTCGTTTCTACAATGATTTAATTGAAGAGTTTTTCTTTTCAAATTCAAAATGCACCACAATTCAGGAAGAGGCTGATCTTCATCAGCTACTACTCAGACAATTCACGGGAGCTTCCCGAAAACAAGCCATTTTGGCAAACTTCCCGAAGAACTCATTTAACACAGAGGTGAATGGAAGCGCAAAAATGGGAGTTTCCCGAAAACTTTGACGTCAGGAGCAACGCAGTTAGGAACTTCCCGAGGATTTCCTCGGGAAGTATCTATAAATGCGAAACTTTCCGAAAGCTTTCAAGAAAAGGGAATTTTCCGAGAGCTTCGCGGTGTTTCGTAATAGCGCTACGTTCATTCCAATGACTGAAGTGTCGTAAAAAGTCACAGAGTCTTCATCAAACTTATGTAATGGTCAGTGCGATATCTGATTTAGCGCAAGTGGGGTACTTGTAGTGTTTCTTTTCTATCGTTCTCTCGTCTTATTCTGTAAATTGACTTTCTTCTCTTCTTTTCATGTGGCATTATTCAAATGTATTTGCATCACTTGTCGATAAGGGTGAAGTGACTTCTTGCTTGTTACTTTGCACATCATAATTATCGTCCTCTGTCGCAGTGCGAGGTGTGAACCTATGACCCAGAGCCAAAACAAGCAAATAGATGATCCGACTATCGAATTACCTTAATGTTGCGACCATCTATTGTACAGCTCTTTGCGAGTGCGGCTGTTATGATCCACCATGTAATAAGTAAATGACTCCTTTTGACTTTACATTTACTCACGACTTTTACGTATTTCGAAATCCTTCTAAATATGACTTTGTGCTGTTTTGTATATAAAGAGGAAAACATGAATTCAGGCACAGCGTCTGACTCTCCTTGCTTTCTTTTCTGTACTTCGTAACAGTGCACTTGCGCTATTTTTAGTCTTCTATTGCCAATATTGCTAGTCTGTCAATTTGTTGTAGACGGTGAAAGTTTAGCAGTTCAAATTGTGTAAATAGGAGTGTTATCTTAGGTAGAATTTAGGCTCTGGTTCCTAGTTGAGTGCTTGTAATTTCGATCTTTTCTCCTTGCTAGTGAAGCAGTTATGTGAAGGTGCTATATGTGCGTGCGCTTCGGGACCGCACCGCGGTTTCCCGCGATTTGATGATTTTTAAACTGCGCTTACGATTCTTTGTATATTTCATTCAGAGGTGCGATAGTCGGAGCCGATTCTCCGCCTACCTTCACTTTTGCACTGGTACAGGGTGACCACCTTCACTTTTGGTGGGGCCGGCACCCCCCATCGCACCTCTGATTTCATTTCTTCCTTCCTCTTTTCTAGCGTGAATTTTTCAGAGCAAGGGCATTAACCGAATATAGTCGCGACGAACAAATAGTTCTAGGCTTCTACTTTGAGGGCACAAGTCGACTTTCAGGTGAGCGTGATTGCCCTTTATTTGACACTAGTTATGCTTCAGCTCACTTCTATGATAATGTTTCTTTCTCTTTTTTGATTTAGCACTGCTTTTCTTACTGAAGCTGTAACCAGCAAATTTTCTCTTTTTCCAATATGCATTGTTTTCAGTGCGCTGGCATTCACCAAGAATAGACGAGACCAACAGAGCAAAAAACTTTCGACTGCGGCCAAATCAGGACCTGTATTGCAGAAACACTGTAAGTTTTTCAGAACCATCTTTTACCTCTGAATTCAGTTTTACAGCGAGGATGTCCGTTATTATCGCCTCAACCAAGGAAAACTTGTGCCTTCAAAGGTTCAAACTTAGTCTCAGTTGTTTTTATACTAAAAATTTGTTTTCCAGAAATACAAGGCTGCGCAGGTCGGATTTGGTAGAGAGGACAAGGCAAGTATGACGAAGTCAGAACGGAAGAGGAAAGCGCTACACAGTAGTGGAATTTGATCCTGTCGCTGTCCTGTTTGATTCTGATGCTTAATTTCTGATCCATCATAAGTCTTCTCATGTAACATCGTGCCTTTGCCTCATTAGTTACATTTTTTCTCAGTAATCACTGCTTCATTTACTACTCCCCTCTTACCTCTATATTCAGTACATGCTTGCTTACTTCATATCTCACTGTCAATATGATACTCCTTACGCATTACTCGGGCACTATTGTAATTCGATCTTTTAAGAACTTGAAGAAATCCTCCCATTCCCATCCGTCGATATGTTATATCTACTGCTATAACAATAAATGATGGAGCATATCTGTTTTTGCGTATAACTACTACTAGTGCTCCACCCTTACTACTACACTAGTTTGAGTAGCTACTAAGGGTGCGGCTTTATTAAATAGCAGGATTCATCATCAAGGTTCGGTACAGCTAGCAGAGCCAATCTGAAGCCCTCAGGAAGTTCTGTAGATAAGTTTTCGGGAGATTTCCCACTTCTTGCTAACTTCCCGAGGACTTTTTTGCAAACTTCCCGAGCGCGTCACGGGAACTTCCGCAGGTGACCCGAGGAAAGTTCCCTCACAGACCTCGGGAAGTTCCCATGGATTGTCTGAGTAAAGGTTGCTAAACGATGTGGCTGCTACTATTTAGCACCGAATTTGTGGTAAACGCTCACAAAAACACAAAGGTTTATTCTTGCTAGAAATTTATTGAATAAGTGATTTTCAATGATAATTTAGGACCTACCAGTGCAATTTTGTGAAGCTTTCGTGTGATGTTCGGCAGTGACATTACTCGAGGAACGATTATGCTTAGGTTGGCCGAATGTTTCTTATTTTAAGTTTAAGACTAAATTAAATAATATTCAGGAAATTCGGTGCTGCGGGCTTACTGGCTACCAAGTCCTCATGACAAAAACAATTGTCACGAAAAATTACGTAATGATTATACGAAGGTGGGAAGTAAAAAGGAAAAAAGCATTTTTCAAAGCTGATATTTTAGTTGGACAAAATGGAGGAGCAGCTAGAAAGCTTATTACTTGATTGTCTGCTAAAGCATACAGTTCCATATACAGCTGTGCAGGTAAGTCATATTAAAAGACACTTGTTAAAAAAGTTTTTTTGTTCTGCTTCAAAAAAGAAAGCAAAAGGACACTACATGGTTTTCGTTGTAGGACAACATTGTTGTTTTGTATGGCTGTAAAATAAAGGTTCACCTACACTTCTAACTTGCCTTCGTAGACTTCCGCCTAACTCTCCTATTCATAAAGTTTATGTTAGAATTGAAAGTAGAAAAAGATACGAAAATTTTGTATTAAACCATATAAATGCAAAAATTGAAATTTCCGTTCTAGATTCTATTTCCGTTTCCTTCCTTTTATCAAAATGAGAATGAGATTTCTGGATCTCGCAGAAACTTACTCAGTAAGGAAAGAAGGCCCGCGAAAACCAATGTCATTTTTTGAAGTGAGGTTGAAGTTTGATTTTTTTTCTTATTGCAGAGGAGTCAATGCCATTTGAGAGCAATACGATCAGCTCCGAGATTTTCATGCGAACGCAGTATCAACTATGTTCCTACCCAGTGCTTTACGGGAGTCGAAAGAAGAAGGAACCGAGAATGTGGCCTAGTACGAAATTGTTGCCCTGCAATATCGAGGTGAGCGCCAAAGTGAGCGACTTTTAGGGTGGGGATCAAATGATCCCGCTTATTATCCGTGAAAAAAGGATGTCCGATTTCATAATTATAGCAGTTTCCGATCTAAACGCCGTAAATTTTCTTTCCAAATGACAAACATCGAAAATAAAGAATAAAAAAATCAGCGCTTTTGAAAAAAATTACCATATCCGCTTTTAGGATAAGATAGGGTCCTTCTTCACTGAAAATTTTGGGTGTTATGTGTGTGGTTTCCCATAATAATGCCCTAGCGGTTTGAATACTATCGTCTTTGCAAAACTCTCACTATTTTCTCAAACATCGTCTCTTTCTCATGGGATAAAAATGCATTTCTACACAGTTTTTTCTCTTGTTGAATTAGAACAATCCTCTACTATTTCATTTGCTAGCCTTTCTTTCAACATTAAAATCTTCAAATCTTCAATATAATATGTATATCAAAGAATTCAAATAGAATAACCGGTTTCCATAGTTATTTCGCGCAAAAAAGCTTGATAGCTTTCAATCTCTGCAAAAGTCAAACTAATAAGCGACAGGAAAGAAGGAACCACTATGGAAACACAGAAAAAAGATCAAGATACCAATAACCAACTTTTCATACTGATTTTTCACACTCAAAGTTGAATTCGAACGGCTGTAAAACATGAGCAGCACTACAAACACAGGAGTGTAAAAAGCCCAGACTGATATCACTTAGACAACACCTTTGGTGCTTAGTCCATAGAAGATCTTATAATCGAGCATCTCTAAGTACATGTGCTTTTACGACATCCATAAACTGACGGAATAATTTTGAGCAGAGAATGTCAAATCTTAGTGGAATTCGAATACAATACCGCTCACATTTTTTTCAAAAATAGACGCGAATGTATGGACATGTATGGACATGTACGGACATGTCCATACATGCATGGAGCTTGTGGTATTGTAAAAGCTTCGAAGACAAATGATCTTTTCAAAATTCATGTCCATGCTTTGCACAATGGGTTGGATTTTCTATTCAATAGAACATTGGGTTCATTATTGGTTTGCGTATCTCTCTCATAAATATAATGCGAAAAGCCTAGACTACTAGTGATAGGGATTACGATGGAAGAAATGATGTAGTTTGAATGACATAACGATAATCGCATCACATCTTAACACATTGAAGACCGCATGACATACATGATTTGTCATGGCTTGAATTTCGTTAAAAATAGCAGCTATCCAGAGATAGGCTTCTAAAAAGTCTTTGAGCATTGGATCTAGTTACTTCCATGTTTTGTACTCTTGGAGCTACTATATATAGGCACAGTGGGGTGATAGTCCGCGTAATTTTGTCTGTAAAAATAGTGACTATTTCGTGAAAGGCTTGACCTTAGAAGGCTAACTCTTCTCAAACTTTTGACTTCTGCAGATTTCAGCCTGACGTTTGCACACTCATGAAAGGCCAATGTGACTCTTTGCTCAGTAGTCGAGGGCGAGAGGCGAATTAACATGGAAGTGAACAAATCAAGAGGTTGATTTTTTTCGCACCTTTGCTTTTCGCGCAAGTTGCGCTGCCGCATGAATCTTCCCATGTTTTCGTGTCTGATTTAATGCGGTAGCGTTTCTCATACATAGTTATTTCATAAGTCGCTATCCTTTCAAAGATCTCTTTCGAGGTGATGGTGATCGTGCGCGCTTGTCTTTTTCTGGCTCATCATTCGTAAGTAGAGAATTAGCAGACGACTATGAAGCAAGTATGACAGTTGCAGTGTTTCAAATTGAGATCATTCCATGCTTGTCAAGAAAATCAAGTAGTTTATGAAACTAACCTCCATCTACGGGAACGTGAAAGTACGACAACTATTCTAGATATAAAACCTTGGATATTCGTTGAAAACCTTCAATTCTAAAAGTTTCACATAATATAGAGATCTTCCCTTGCTGGCAAACGAGGGGGCATCGGTACTTTTCTATACTAAGCAAGGACAAAATAATGTTAGGTTGAACCGAAAGTTCGTTCGCACCATTTTCAAAAAATCATAACTTCTTTTCTTCACAGCGATTTTGCGCAATTCAAATTTTATCTGAAAGCGTAAAGCATATAGTTTCCAATAGTCTCCTGGCAACTTCCCAGCATGTTCAGTTTGCAGAGATAAAAATGAAAGAACGAAAACATCCGAAATTCGAAATTTTCGAGAAACAATTCCAAAAATCTAGAAACTGCGCGATAAAATCCAGAAAAGCCAGCCATTATCCTAATTTTTCTTATACTTGATTACAAACTGAGTTAAGTTTGTGCTGATCAAGCTCTTCTTTTAAAAGTTATGATTTTTTGAAAAGAATTCCGAAAAATCACTTTCCTAAGAATTCCTAAGAAATCGATTTTTCGGCATTTTTTTTCAAAAAATCATAACTTTTGAAAGAAAAGCTCGATCAGCACAAATTTAACTCAGTTGGTAAACAAATATAAGAAAAATTTGGTTAATGGCTTTTCTGAATTTCATCGCGCAGTTTCTAGATTTTTGGAATTGTTTCTCAAAAATTCCGAATTTCGGATGTTTTCGTTCTTTCATTTTTATCTCTGCAATCTGAACATGCTGGAAAGTTGCCAGGAGATATTGGAAACTATATGCTTTACGCTTTCAGACAAGGTTTAAATTGCGCAAAATCGCTGTGAAGAAAAGAAGTTATGATTTTTTGAATATGGTGCGAACGAACTTTCGGTCCAACTCAATATACAGGGTGTCCCAAAAGTAAGTACACACTTTTCAATCTCCAATATTTCTCTTCCCAATGAGTCTTTTTTTGCCATTCAAGTACCATTCTGTAGAGAAGGCTTCAACTTAGACTTACAGTATCGATCGAATCACCGATCGCCTTTCCTTACTGTGGGAATACGGTAAGAACTTCCAGCATGTGGAATCATTGGGATGTATGCCATCTGACAAAATTTTTTTCAAAAATTCTGAAAAATTGTGTAATAGGGTTTTCGCACACGCTGATTCCACTACACAACTTTTTACGAGTTATTTCAGCTTTTTTGACGATGCAATCACACTTTTGACCATACCTTCGATAGTCTAGAGACAGGGCGTCAAAAGTGAAGGTTGTTTGAACATCTGACGTCATAAATAGTGAAGGTTGTTTAAAGATGATCAGAGAAAAGAAAATGACATAAAACAGATATAAAAATCAAAAGAAACTGCTGAAAACCGGATAAAAACGCTGCAATGGGGCTTCATCTTTCATTCGGCGGCTTTTCAAAGTGCAAGTTTTCGCTTCAGGACCAGCATTTCGCAATGCGGGGTTTTGGTTTTTGATGCGTCCTTTAAATTTTTACCCCCGCAATGACGTTTCTGTTTCCTGGGGCGTTGTCTGGATTGTTGCGCTTATTGTTCTGAGCAACAATCTCCCAAGCTGGAAAAAAATCTATGCGAAAGCACTGAAACTGAACAAGGTAAAGAAAAACGCTCTTTTTACGATTTTTCGCAAAAAATTCCACCATAATCCAAAAGATAAGGGCTGGGTGGTTGTCGGCATTATGATCCCAAGCTTCAAAAATCACTCATTAACGAGATAGGCCAGCGTTTTCGTTCGCGACTCTCTGCGCAAGATTTAAGCGCAGTTTTTCTTTCTAATTCAACTCCAATAGCTTTCATAAACTTCTGAAACTTGATTTTGTTCATCAGAGGCTAACTAAGAAATTTTGTACTGAATTTTGGCGAAAATCCCACAGAAACTTTTTTTAAGCTAAAAAAGTCTATGAAAACGCAGATTCTCGGTTTAGCTGAGATAAGCTAAAGATTTCATTCCCTATATTTGCTTCATTAACATTCGTTCCGATATAATCAGGATAATAACATGGGCGAAGCCCCGAATGACTTCTGTTTTTTCCAGGTGAAGTTTGTGTCCCCTCATAGCCCTAAAAGTGAAGGTTGCCAGAGTACGTGGCTCTATGTATCGAGGGTATGCTTTTGACAAACACTGGGAATTCGGCTATTACGGTTTACCTGGGATAACTCTGGAAAGAAGCATCACAGTAAAGTAGAAATTTCATATTCGAAATCATCAGTTTCTACAACCATAGCACAAGGGTATTCGGCTCGTTTGGTCTTGTTCCAAGGCAGAACATGGCTTCCAATAGCCTAAAATCCTTGTCGAACTTCCTACAGTAACCCTACAGTAATGAGCGGCGATCGGTGATTCGCTCGATAAATCTAAGTTGGAGCCTCCTCTACAAAATGGTTCTTAAAAGGTGGAAAAAGACATAATGGGAAGAGAGATATTAACGACTGAAAAGTGTGTACTTACTTTTGGGACACCCTGTATAACCCTGAAACGTCTCACGCAAGCTTTCTACATTATTACTGCACTATTTCTTTCTATATGAGCCGTTAGGGGCTTTGGATAGATTGATGTTATTTGGATGGATGTGGAAATTAGGGGGAAATAGAAATAGGGTAAATAGGTGTGGAAATAGGGTAACCCAACTGGGAAGAATGTTTATGCGCTATGCTAATACTGATTATATTTTAGTAATATACAGTGATTTGTAATTTCCATGTCATTGTTATCTGCCTGAGTTTTAAGACTAGCTGGCACCGCATTACTTCGAGTTCCTTTTTTTCGGCACACTTCAAGTGTATTTATAAATAAATGAATAAATATTCAGTTTTGGGATGTTTTCGTGCTTTCTACAATAATGCGGGGAGAATTTGCTAAATTTTTACTACCGCTACATTTGCATGCAAGATACCATGGGGCGCCCATTCGAACGTGGTTTGCACCAAAAATTTTCACGCGCAAATGTTGTTGGCAACTTGATGCACTAATGAGCGTTATACTTACTCGATTACATTGGGGTTACAACCGCCATGTTGCTACAATCTTATTTGTCATTTTTCACTTCCTCAAACATTGTTATCTCCCAACATTTTGAAGTACTGTAGGTGTACGGTAAGCCAGTACAGTGCTAATTTCAGGTCGCATAGTGCTGGAGCTCATGCGAGTCTTAGCGTTGGAGTCGTGATACCGTGTTCGTCTGACATGCGTGCGTTGAATTTGAGCAGTGCACGTGATGTGACGGCAAACTCCAATAACGCGAAGTTCCTTCGGGCTACGAAACGTTTCTTCAAGAAAATCTACTCCACCGCCACGCTACCGAACAAAAAACCGTCGTCGCTTGAGACTGACACTAACCCCAAACCAGCGCAATTTTCTGAAGTTGGGTAAGTCCTGAAATATTCTTTTAATGATTTCAGTTTCCAAATTTGGCCATCTACAGATATCGTACACCAGCAGCTTTGGCAAACGAATCTGATCTGTCACGACTAGAGGACTTCCGTAACCAGAGGTGCGATGGGGGGAGCCGGGCCCACCAAAAGTGAAGGTGGTAGTGTCGGACACTCACCTCCCAAAAACGTCGACGGGGGAGGGGACGGGGGGGGGAGGTGCGGGGGGGGGGTAGGACGGACGAACAGAGCTATCTTTCTAGGTCGAGCTGTGACCCAACGGCCCTCTTTAAAGCGATACCATAAATAATAAAAATATTTATAAATTTTATTTATTAAAATTTAAAATAGACGTGTTTAGTGAATGGTATATTTGGAATTAAAAGTTTGTTGGACTGTACGGATTTTATTAAGTAAATTTTGCCATAACATACTACGAAGGAAGTAGGTCGATCTAGGCAGTAACGGCCGAGAACCAGAATTTTGAATACTTAAATAATGAAAAATCATGCGAAATTTCCACTGTTATAATTGTGTTGTTTGAAGATGTCAGCAGTTGTGACTTCATAGGTTTTAAAGAGTAAATGGTGCTCTATCAGATAGTGAAGGAATCGAGTGGATTTGGGAGATAATCGTTGAAAACCAGAATTCTAAAAATTTACGCCATTTTTGCGTGTTTTTTTGACAGTTGACAGTTAAACTCATCTAAATCTTGAATGTGAAAGTGTGTGATGTTGCGACTTCATAGGTTTTATAGAGTAAGGATTGTCTTATCAGATTATACCTTAGCCGTTCCGATCCATTGAAACACCTCTGAGATCCAGAGTTGAATAAAGCAGTGGTATCAACGCAGAGTACTCATAACTTCTTCAGAACTGCATGAATCATGTTGCGACTTCATAGGTTAGATTCATCTCATCAAGAGCTTTCGATGATTTATAATATGTGGGGGTTTAGAACCTCCTACGAATTATTGCCCGTGGGGGAGCCTTTTCATACCAAAGTCTCCCCTAGCTCACTTTAATGTATTGGAGGGGGGAGACTTTGGTATGAAAAGGCTCCCCCCACGGGCATTAATTCGTAGGAGGCTCAAAACCCCCACATATTATAAATCATCGAAAGCTCTTGATGAGATGAATCTAACCTATGAAGTCGCAACATGATTCATGCAGTTCTGAAGAAGTTATGACCCTGTTGAATTTCAATAAGCGCTTTTTTACCTGCTTATTCAAGACTCTGGATCTCGGAGGTGTTCCGATGGATCGGAACGGCTAAGATATATCCTGATAAGGCAACCTTACTCTATAAAGCCTATAAAGCGGCAACATCACACACTTTCACATTCAAGATTAGATGAGTTTAACTGTCAACTGTCAAAATCACGTAAAAATAGCGTAAATTTTTAGAATTCTGGTTTTAAACGACTATCTCTCAAATCCACTCGATTTTTTCACTAGCTGATAGAGCACCATTTAGTCTTTGAAACCTATGAAGTAGCGACTGCTGACATCTTCAAACAACAGATTTATAACAATGGAAATTTTGCATGATTTTTCACTATTTAATTATCAAAATTCTGGTTCTCGGCCGTTACTGCCTGGATCGATCTACTTTCTTCGCTGTACGTTATAACAAAATTTGCTCAATAAAATCCGTACAGTTTCGCTAAGTTTTACTTCCAAATACACCATTTACTGAGCACGTTTATTTCAAATATATATTCCGCCGTATACATAAATATATGCTTTCAATAATCTTTTTTGCGTTTGTTTTGCTTATTTTCCTTCTTTATCGCCCAACGAAAAAATTTTTATTCCAAAAGTGAAGGTGGTCACCCTCTATCAGCTCAAAGGTGAAGGTAGGGGGAGAATCGGCTCCCACTATCCGCACCTCTGTCCTGTAACTACGGGCATACCTACATTGACACGAACTATCCAGATAGCGGTCTAGACATGGATAGGTATGTTGTATTAGTTAGCTCTCCTGTTTTACTAATATGATAATATTTACAAAAATATGGTACGTTTATTTATTGAAGCTGTAGCACTTTCATTTTGTGGTGACAAAACTCTTGGGATTATTTTGACGTTTTTACCGTAAGAGTACCGTAACATTACCGTATGATGCCTAGAATCGAATTAAATATGTAATTTCTGCACTCAAAGTTAGGATACATGCCAATATGTGCGATTACTAAGATCGTTACTCATAAATATCAGGTTCTAGGTATCCCAGTCTAATAGCCCTGTGGTGTAATTTTGAAGGATATATATTTTTTCATTAGATTCAGTCCTAGTTTCTCAGGGTATGAGTATGAAAATAGGACAAAAATTTCTTGAAATAAACGGTTAACAGCTTCATCGATTTATTTCATTTTTACTAGCTACAGTCGAAAAATTCAGTGATGAGTCCAGAAAGAACTAGCTACAGCACTTTGCCTTCTATTTATAGATCTATATGCCGAAATGCAGTTTTTGAGTTGGTGACAATCGGAGGATTTGCGCTTTTTGACCGTCTTCTCACCTATGATCACATCTCTCAACATATTTGGATATATAATTTGGCATTTCTAAAGAACCTTCACCATTTCCGAAACATTTTCCGCCTTGTCAAAGTTACGACCCACCGTTTAGTCGTAACTTGACAAGGCTTCGGTTCAAAATGACGTTATAGAAAAAAGATTTGGAATCTGCTCAACAAATGTGAGGGATTGGTAATTTGACAAGGAAGTCATGTGTAATAACTCAGTATTTGTTCAGCACAGTTAGTTTGAAAAAGAAAAAGAAAAAAAGAAATGTCATGCAGTTTTTTCAACACTCATGGTGCTTACACCGCTTGCCCTCTTGTCTTGAATAATCTGTTGCGAAAAAACTCTTACACCGCTTGCCTCTTGTCTTGAATAATCTGTTGCGAAAAAACTATCTTTTTTCTAGTAGTTGATTTTTTTCCTGATTTTGATTTGATGGATGAATGTCTTAAGCACATCTGATTATATACTAGTGAAAACAAGTAAAGGGAACTTTACTCAACATTGAACCTATGAATTTCTCTCTCCCAACTCAATTTTTCGTTGTGCTACTACTAAATGATTCTCTTTTGCTTATATATGCTAACTGATAACGGATGGAAGTGAGGGGAGGCAGAGTGGGGGGGGGGGGGGGAGGGGGGGTCGCGAAATTTTGAAAGTAGCCTATAAAGTTACTATGAAATGACATGTTTTGAACAATCAAAACAATTTTTTCATAAAAATTCAAGTTGGACTTGTAAGAATGTCAGCCACGGTATGGCGCCAGTGATATACAATACCACTCGTAATTTGTGAAAAAAAAATGGCGGCGGCACTTAACACATTGACGACCATGCAGATTTTTAGTTGTCTGCCTTTTGGGACCCAAGGCCTTTTTACGGACCAACCCACTTTTTCAACTATAATTACGCATACTGCCATCTACAGTACACATACAGTAGATCAGAAAGGTTGACAAGAAAGGTAGAAGTCATCCCTAGATTCTGTGCAAAAGAAAACTCATAAAGTGAGTTTATTTCAGGATAGTAGTCAATTAACAAAAATTCAGGTTTTGACACACATGGTGTGTCAAGCGGTCCCACGCGGGTAGTCATTGCTTGACACACCATGTGTGTCAAGCAGTCGTCAGTGTGTTAACTCACGCGGCGCCGCCGCAGTTAGGTGACAAACGCCGCGTGAGTTAAGTGCCGCCGCCATTTTTTTCACAAATTACGGGTATTGTAAATTATAGGACTTTCTCGCCCTCCCCCCCCCTCTCCGTGAAAAATTTCGCCAGTGCAGCTAACCATTTTATGATATTCAGATCCTCAACCCCTGATCAGTCTATGGGTTCGATGACGGTAACCTCATCAGATTCCCGCGTGACATTGTCCGATTCCAGTCGCGAAGAACGATGCGACGATCTCTTTGAAACCTTGAGACGAGAAATGGTATTTCAATTATTTAATCGCTTTTTCCAAAAAAAATTTCTGAAAATTTTCAGCATGCGATGCGAGCACGCGATGCAGCCATTCTAGCGGATTTGCATCGTGTCGAATCTCAAATTCAAAGTGTCCAAATGGCTCGTCTTGGGCTCTACGACGCCACTCCATAACCGGTGCCAAGTCTTCCGATCTAAGCGTAGAAGTCGCGAATAGTAGCAGTGTCAATTGTTTCGTTTACTACTTACTGTTATCATCTCTATAATCGCTGTATTTTTCTTGTTATCATAATTTTTATATTAGATATGTTTGCCGTATCATAAAAAAGAGATTCTTGTCTCCCTTATGATGGTAAGCCCACAGACTTCTACTACTAGTGCTGTCACATTTGCGTCTTTTCAAAATTTGTAGCATAATAATACCCAATTCATCAGTAAAAGTTAGCATCCAGTAATGTTTCATAGCACTCACTCAATTTTCTGTTTCCTCACATTGTACATTTTGATTTTGACCCTTTAGAGTGTGCGGGTTAGAATTATATATCCTGATGATGTTTTACTATGATATCGTAAGTTAATGAGCCCAGTTTTATGTATCACCTTAGAATGTGTCAACCCAGTGTAAATTTGAATTCGAGCGGCAGCATGGTTCCTCCTGCCGCTCCACTTTGTCCCAGTCTCTTCGGCCCTTCTTCTCTGAAACATGAGGAAGCGCTCAAACGAATCAGAGACGAAACCATGTGCAGGGCCATACAACTGTAATTTTTTTCTGAGTTATCTATCCGATTTCAGTATGTGTTTTCTACTACTTAAAGACAGCAATAAACTTTTAGTAAAATGCATCGTTTTTGATCGATTATTTCATTTATTTGATACGCTTAAGTCTTGCCGCATCAAGTAAGGTAAGCCGCATCGGTAAGTGTAACAAAACATGGCACAACAACAACGAAGAAGAAAGAGAAAACATCCAAGTTGGTTCGAGTCCAGTTAGCATTTTGTAAAGGATTTTGTAGGGACACCGTATGCCATCGTATTAGAGGCTGTTCGGCAAAATGGACCATCTCACTTCATCAATAACGCCCACTCAGTGGAAGTGTGCGGAGCTGGTGAGTTTTGAAGCTCCTTTGCAAGTTAGCGCATGAATTGGAAGGTGGGTTGGGGCTACGATATACCCGAAAGGTTTAGTATCTGACACCAAAATCCGACAGGGGACCATTTTGCCGGTCCACTGCCGATCCAACAAAGCATTAGTCGTTATACAAGTGATACAACTAACAAGGAAACGATACTTGGTAACCGTGGCCTTTTGAAATAAAACGTACACCATTAAACGCATCTTGAAACACTGATTACAAATCTGTTTTCATTATCTGTTGTGCGCTCTTCCGAAAGAAGTTATGAACACTTCTTGTCACCAAAATCTGCACTGTTTTTGATGCAGGATTCACCAATATCGTTGGAATGTTCGCCTTATGCACTACAAAAGGAGCGCCCAAAAAAAGGAAAATTTTACGTTAGGCTCAAAACTGACTCGGATATATCAGAGTCTGAAAAGCCTGAATACTGACGATCTTGACTGCCCTAAATCTCGCCAAATCAATACGGAAAAAAGTTCATAACTTTGTTCAAGGAGTCGCGCAGCAGATAATGAACGTAGATTTAAAATCAGTTCTCCAAGACGCACCTTGTGGTATACATCTCATTGCAAAAGGCCACGGTCACCAAGTATGCTTCTCTCGTAAGATCTGGTATAGTGGCTAGTGCGATAGCTCGCAACTTAATGCAGGTTTAGGTTCGAGTCCTTTTATGTTATTCAATTTTGCATTGCCTCAATCAAGTTTCTTTTTGAAAGTTAGGCATCCTTCACCCTGTTTCTCTTAGGCGACCATTGACGCGAAAATCCTTCATAACTTCTTCTAGAGAAACGATTAGCAGAAACGGAAGTCAAATTTGGAATCAGCGTTTCAAAATAAATGTGAAAGTATACGTTTCATCTCAAAAGGCCACGGACATCAAGTATCGTTTCCTTCTAAGAAAGTGATAAAGTTGCTGATATTAGCAATGTTTGGTATCTAAGAACTTAACAGTAGAAGAGTTAAGCTTACCGAAACATTCTATCCTTTTTTGTATGCGCCATAAAATAAAATTCTTTTCTTTTAGCTCTTCCGGAGGTAGAGCTGAAGTTTTGGGGTTGCTTAAAAGTGGAGAAACGAAGTAAAGTAGTTTAGTTTAGTAGTTTTATGGCGGAGAGGCCCATTGAAATATATGTACAACACTCTATCAAACATCATTTTAATCATTGGAAAAAAAAAACAAGATCGGAAAGTGCCTATTATGCAAAGTAGCATACAACGAGATACAAATCCCATCCGTCATTTTTGCAGGACTGACACAAAAATTTCAGCAATTTTACGTAATCTTATGAATGCTACAGTATCTGGAATTCTAAATTATGACTTGAAGTAAGAGTTTAGAAAGCCCTGAAGAAACATGCAAGTTTGCAATAATCGAAGTGTCTGATTTAGCAACCTTAGTACCGTAAATTCTATAAATCAACCAGTGAGCGTTTGGAGTAGGTTTTCTAAAACTTTAGTATACAACGGTCGCAGCAGTTCGAGTCCTACGGGGGTCATATGAATGCTATCTCTAAGTCGAGTAAGTAGCGTATCTGGATCGTACAAGTGGTAAAGGCCGTTCTTGAAGAGAGCCTAAAATTATAACTTTCAAATCATGTTGATTCAAAAATAGTAGATTTGAAATGTCTGACTTGAAATTTATGTCTCACAATTTGTCAAGCAAGTATTTCGAACGTAAGCACACACAATCAAGATAGCAAAATTATTTTGAGTTTACAGTCTTGCAGGTAAGGTGTTTTTGCTCTCTTTCGTTTGCATTTGAGTAAGGATGTATTATATCACCTGAGGCATCACTAGAATTTTTCGTTTTTCATCTAGCACTATGTCAGAAAAGATCAAAAGTGTCAGAAAAGATGTCAGGAAAGAAGTAAGATTAAGATCAACACTTTTGCTAATAATGGATCATTTTAAAAGGTGCTACGATTGCTAACTTACTGTCGCTCACTTTGGCCAAGTCTTTTTGTAGCATCATTACCCGTCTGTAACTTACCCCTCTTCCTTTACGCGTCATTCAGAAAATTACGCCTTTAGTTCGACTAAAGGCAGTGTCTCGCCAAAATTGAGGTAATGCGAGTTTCTACCATATTCGTTAAAGGACCCCTGGATATGCTACCGCCCCACCGACTCGATCGGGGCCCTTCTGCGCCGAGAAATTTACCATCAAAGTAGCCCTCAAAGCACGATTTGGCTCGCACGGCTGAGCGTCGGTTGTGCGAGCCAAATCGTGCTTTGAGGGCCACTTTGATGGCAAATTTCTCCGGTTTCCCCCTTGTGCGTTTCAATATGCCCCTCTACTTAGCTCTTTCCCCGAAGTGTCTGCCAATGTAAAGACTACGCTGAAAAGGCGCAACTCGTCTGCGTTGCTTCCATAGGGCTTTCAAAACGGGGTTTTGTGCACTTTATGCAATTTTGAGCCCGCATTGATTTAGACAGGGGCGAAAAGGCTTGCACTATGCATAAATCTCGGTAACCACATTTTGGTGAGACACGACAACGTGAGTACATGGTGGGCCATGCATCAACTGCCACGTGGGATAACGTGACCCACATGGTGGGTCAAGGCTTGAATTTCTTTGAAAAATGATTACGTAATGGGTACACACGTTGAGGTCGTTAACACTCTGACCTTAAAGGATACTTTGTTATTTCTTGGCTGCTTTTTAGAGTTTGTGTAGGTGTAGTATAGCTGACGATCTGCGTCATTTTAGCTAGAATTTTCCACATTATTCGTGGAAAGCATCCACAAGGCAGACAATTAAATGCACGTTGTCTTCAACTGTTGAAGAATGATACACCCACACTCTCATGTACAGTTCTTACAAGGGAAGGATGGTCAATCGAAGTGGCTTTTTGCGAAGATTTTGTATACGATGTTGATGGCTGTAAAATGCTGATTCCAAATCTGTACTCCTTATCTGCGGTGCGTTCCTGAAGGGGAGCTACGAGCGTTTAGAGGAACAAAAATGAGTGTGTTCTGGGATAAAAGCAGTTGCTAAAATTTTCCCAGTGCCTAAATGAGATGGGAGTGTGGATTTATCTCATGTAAGGGTATTTATTCTACAGAGTGCTGGAAAGCTCACCTGGTCCATTTGAGTGCTAGGAAAAATGTTACTGCTGTTTTTATATTAAATGCACATTCAAATTATTCTCCAATAAACGCTCATAAATTCTCGTACAGGAACGCGCCGCAGATGTTGAAGAAAGATCTGGAATTAGCGTTTTATGCCCTCCAGCATGGTATACAACCCATCTCAAAAGGCCACTTCGACCAATCATGCTTCCCTTGTAAGTTTTCCTTCTAGCAGCTTTCTGAAACCAATATTTTTCCTATATTAGATTAGATAGCCAAGTATCTCTCTACTACTAGATCACAGTTCGTTTAGCAGCGAAACATTACAAGCGTGACCCAACGTTGAAATTAGTTTGCAATAACGAGCAAGCCAGTCAGGAACTAGCCAAAATTGTAGCAAAGATGCACTCTGTATGCTATTTATAAACACTACGAAAACTCCCATAATCAGATAACCTTATTGCGCAGAAGTTGTTTTTATCCCAAACTGTCTCTGCTTATTGTGCGAAGTCTCCACAAATAGCAACACATCAATGTTTTTGCTTATTTCTAGACGTTCCTAACATTGTGCATCTGCTTTGTATGACGATAGTATGAAATCAGTAATAATATAAGGGTAATTGGAGAATAGCAAACGGAAATCAGGTTATCCGAAATATCAGAATTTCGACATTTTTTGCGATTTTAGTGGCAACGTGTCTTAGCCAGTAACTTTCCTGACCTCGTTTATTTTGTTCATGATGCATTTGCTGCAGTTCAATGAACTCAGCCGCAGTTGATGATATCGTGTTTGGTTGATGTGTTGCTGAATATATACAGGATTACTGAGAAAAACAACAAGATGTTTACATACCTCCCAAGTAACTACGAACTCATCACCAGGCGAAAGACCCAGTTGCAGTCTTCTTGCAAGCTTCGCTCCAACGTTGAATGGAGGTGTGTAGTAAGGCATCTCGATAACTATATGTTTCGTGTAATTGCTTAAAAAATTCTCATGCATTTGAAAACCTCCTTGAAACAAATATTGACTAGTGAACGCTCTTTCATGATCAAGGCGATTGCCAAAATAATGGGAAAATCTGAGAAGAAAATGAGAAGTAAACATTGTTGCTTGTGAGTAACTACTGATATCGTAAATCTGAATTTTTCCTTTTTAGTAGATCGTTTTCCTTTGCACACAAATACAGAAATACCTGATAAAGTCAATGTTCCCTTGAAATTCCTTGTAGATTCGATCTTTGCTAAGATCTTTAACGGGAGCGACAAAAGGAGTCTCTCTCAATAAAAACATCATGAACGTGCGATTTTCCATGCAAGGAGATTTTGTGAGCAAACTTACAAGCTGTGATGCATATACAGTACAATGTCTGGTTCTTCATGTTGCACAACTTTCCTCGTTGCCTCCGTGAATTCTGGACACCAGTTTGATAGAGGTGTGCATGCTATCAAACACAAAATCTTTAATGAGGTAGGAATAGGTAGGTAACTAACTAATATCTAATAGGTAGGAAACTCCAACAGAAAAGTATTAGGTTGGTGCGAAAGTAATGCGCGTTTTTCTAGCCCTTGTTTCAGGACGACGTTTCTTCATCAAACTTTCTACTTTGGAAAAAAAACTTGTATACTTTCAAGAAGCTCATTTCATGCTCTATCCAATGATGGTTGAAAGGAGCTCTAACCTTCATTCGTTAGAAGTTAATAGAGCTTCATACAACCGTACTTGAAACCAGAATTATATCATTTACTTTTTTGGCCAGAATTCAAGAGCGAACAAAAGCGTTCTTTTAAAAATTTAAGCATGTGAAATTGTCTACATTACATACCTTACTGTTGACAGTTTGCACAGAAATGTGGAAGCTCTTCAGTACACAGAAAATCAAAAATCTCCATGCCGAAAAAAGCGGACAATGTTGAATATTGATTTTTTTCTTTTCGCAAATCTTCTTTGTTTGAGCCCCTTTCGAATTTTTTCTACTACTGGTTTGCGTCCACAAGACAAGGCTACTCATCACTCACGCTAACAAACTTTGAAGGGATTATGATCAGTTAAAAACGGGGTTTTAGAAAAAAACTTTTTTGCTTGTCAACCCATATTTTTGTGCCCATTGGTGATGAGGCATGAGCGGATGTGCGCTGTATTGAGAAATATATGGTGCCTCTTATAGCCTCTACCGCACTGAAGAATGTGGATTTAGAAAGTTATAGCACGAGTGAAAACTCGCAAAACGCGCATTACTTTTTGCACCAACCTAATACTTACACAACTCATCAAAAACGAACTGCTTATTGAAAAAAGCCTGAGGGTGCGATAGCGTTCTTTAAGTATTAGGTTGTCCGGAAATTAATGCCCGTTTTGACTTTCAACCGCAATAAGTCATACACTCTTCATTTCTAGATATATTGCAAAGTACCATTCGATAGAGCAAGGCAAGCTCTACAAGATGGCCATCTTGCTTTTGCAATAGCTCTCATCCATCTCGAGTTTCGAGCCAAAAACTAAAAAGACTCAGCAGCCCGAAAAATCGAAAAAAATCGTAACTCAGTTCATAAAAAACCTACAAAGATTCTAACTTGTTCACGCAAACACTATCCACATAAGACATCAATATACGCCGTTGCCGTATTTTTTTCTCTGTTAGAAACCAGGAAAACGGAAATTTTCATGCCTTTGCCAAAGTGATGCTGTGCCGTCCCCATATAGGTAATTGTATACCACAAGCCTGTTGAAGTACAGACTTAAATTTTCAGCTCTCTACAAGCTTTAATTCTCGAGAAATTTGAATTTGCTTGGACCACCTAACTAGGGAAAGCTATATTAGGTATTTCTCGAGAACTAAAGCTTGTAGAGAGCTGAAAATTTAAGTCTGTACTTCTACAGGCTTGTGGTATACAACTACCTATGTGGGGACGGCACAGCATCACTTTGGCAAATGCATGAAAATTTCCGTTTTCTTGGTTTCTAACAGAGAAAAAATACGGCAACGGCGTATATTGATGTCTTATGTGGATAGCGTTTGTGTGAACAAGTTAGAATTTTTGTAGGTTTTTTATGAACTGAGTTACGATTTTTTTCGATTTTTCGGACTGCTGAGTCTTTTTAGTTTTCGGCTCGAAACTCGAGATGGATGAGAGCTGTTGCAAAAGCAAGATGGCCACCTTGTAGAGATTGCTTTGCTCTATCGAATGGTATTTTGCAACCTATTTAGTGATGAGAAGTGTATGACTTAGTGCGGTTGAAATTTAAAGCAGGCATTAATTTCCGGACAACCTAATATATTGTGAATCAATGGGTATGCTCTATAAGCAATAGAGTTTCCAAGAACCAAGACCTTGGCAGTGGCATTTCCTTCCTGAAAAGAGGAAAGAACGATCAAAGTTATTAGAAAGATTACGCTTAAGCCTTCACCGCTTACTGACTCCAGTTTTCGTTACAGCATCAAGACAGGCGCGGTGCAACTATGGCACCAATGGAACATGTTTTCTACGTGAAGAATCAACCGCATTTTTAGCAAGGATAAATCTTTTGTGAGAGGGGAAAAAATGCAGAAACACGGAAGCTACGAAAGCTGGTCATGTCCTCTATACCCATAACAATGTCATTAACTACCTTTGAAAAGCCCAAAAACATCTTTGCATCGTGTTTTCAAACTTTGATTTGGATATGATATGACTTTTAGTTGTGAAGTTGAAATTTTGAGATACGTTGTTTAAAAGCCTCTTTTGTGCTTTATAATTCAAGTGGCAAAGCCTATTCTTGGTACCCATTTTACTTCGTCTCATGAAACGCTCAGAAGCTGGGAGCAACACGAAAGAATTTCATCAAAAAATCAGAAAACTGGTGAGGTCGCGGTCAATGTACATACTTTTTTACAAGTTTTTTACACTTCCTTATGTCGGGCATTAAGCATCCCATGCACTCAGCTCACTTACCGCAACGCATCGCATCTCAGGCTCTTTATAGTACTTCGTGTACGACTGAGTGTCCCAATCTTCACTGCACGGCATCGCGAAATACCCCTTACAAGATTCTCTCATATTCCACTCAATAGCGTAGTCAATTTCTAAAGGGGTTTTAGTCAATAAAGCTATCAAAATAACCTTTAAATTGTGTGCAGTACTTGATATGTTTGGATTGATGCTTTCGAGCGGAGGAGCGTAAAGATACATAGACTTAGTGCCAAGAATGCATGCATAGCAGGCAATCACGCAAAGACAAGCCGTTATGATTCCATTTTTTACAAAAAACTTCTGCAAACGATTTCATTAAAAATATCGTACTTTCAAAATACGAAATTAAAGAAATACTAGCTTTAAGGGTGTGGTGAATTGCTACCGACAGCATGAAACTAGCGAAAAGTACAATCGCCACACCTAAAAAATGTTTGTTCTATTCTGAGATTTATTTCAGCACTTCAAGTTTTATGCAATCTCAGAAGCTAAAAATGCAATCCCTAAACTTTTTATGTAAAGTGGCAGTAGTCCGCATTTTGACAAAGTTTTTGTAAATCTGGGTAAAACTGTGTTACTTTTCGAACTCAGCGTTTGAGAGTCCACAGAATATCGGACTGCCGCAATAATCGGCCAGTGAACGAGATACAGAACGTAGGATATGTCTCCACAGTAAACTATGAACCCGTTTGTCAGACAAAGGCATCCGAACTGAGATACACCATCAAGCTAGCCATTAACGTCGAACATATCCTGTAAATTTGTAATTAGGAACATGACAATGAAGGCAAGTATATTAACAGCGAATTTCCCTTTTATTCGATGTATCTATGCTTGAAACCTGACTTACCTGGCCGTATTATCGGGTACATACTTTGGACTGATAATCACCATCACGACCAAAATGAACAACAAAATGTTCGTGAGTGAGGATCCACTCAAGAGACCCGCATTCGGTACTAAATGCATTTATGTTCAAAAGTGCATTAATTGCATCAAAACCACCAAGTAAGATAATATCGTCAAAACTAGTGCTTAATTTGCACTTCCCCATGTCAGCTAGTTACCAAATTGGCTCCTTTGGCTGCGTTCATACTGATCCCGAAGTTCGGGAAAGTTCCAGCACAACGCTAAATCGAAGTGTCCTGGAACTGTGCCCGGACTTCGGGATCAGTATGGACGCAGCCTTTGGCGCCTTTGAACGATTGCCTCTCTATTCACTTTGCTCCAACATTCCAGCCAAAGTCGTTGGCACCAAATTCAAACTATGTACATATTGTTATGCAGAAAATGTTATATGAAGACTTCCAAAACTTATGTGATACACTACATTTCTTAGATTACCGTCTCATTGAATGCCAATGGCGACTACAGAACCATGGAGTATATAGGAGCATGTAAGGGTGTCTCAAGAGCAGTACTGTAAGTTTCGATCCGCCTGGCGAAGATTGGATTGGCGGGCGTCCGCCCCGAAATGGCTCGCGCCGTTTAGCAGTCTACAATATATCATATCGTGCTAAGAACCCAACTCTATATCTCTTCATTCTCCTCAGTCTTGCTTGGCAAAATGCCAGCGCTATGGGCTCGCAAAGCTTCCAATGACGCGCACCTAATCCGGGATGAAACCGACTGTATACAACGATAATCATCAACCCCCGTCACAACGTATTTTTTATACTGAAGCTACAGATAAATCGAGAAGTAAATGACGATCAGAAAAGGAATAATATCTATAATAATTCTACCGATTTCAGTTCATCTTGCCTATTCATCATCATATCGATTTTGGGGCTACCTTCTCGTACAATTCTCCATGATCTGTTCTTCTTCGATCATTGCTTTCATTAAAAATCCTTAAACTATTTGGCTTAGCCGTTGGTTGTTCTACGAATGCCGCTACTACATATAAAGCAACTCCTTTTCAATTGTTGCTGAAGTCACGTAGATCTCCTTCCTACCTATGCCCGCTCTCGTTTACCTACGCAACACGTCAGTAACTGCTATAGACTGACAGAACAAGTCAATACAAAAGTACGCGGTCTGATCGGCAAACTTTGATAATAGGAGACCTCATCAACAATGACATAAAAAAAAACCTACAGTCTACGCACGCTAACAACTCCTCAAAAAAAATAGAAATTAGAAAACAAAATCGAAGCAGTCGATCAGACATGCTTATTCAGATAAACAATCAGCAAAAACGTAGATGAAAAGACGGATCAGACTCAAAATGAACATGATGAGCAGAGCGAGATTGTACTTACATTAAAAAGCAGAAATTATAATGTTATTTAGGCGTGATTTACAATGCAACCTTTTTTTGCTCAGGCTGCAGTGAGCACGGTTAAGCTATTGGCGCGTTCATTAGAGTAGTGCGATCGATGTTAGTGCTGCAACACAAAACCCCTTAGATTTACAATCAAAACAAACCGCTTCTTAATATTGGGTTGTTTCAAAAGTTCTACCCGTTTTCGATCTTTGACTTTGATTCACCGTAACTGTTCTCAGAAATAATTTTTGCAATTGCTATAAACTGTATCACGATCTGCAAATCTTTGCTATTCTGCGCACTCTTTAAGATTATTGCAATAACAGTGGAGAAGATTTTATAGGCGAAAATCGATGAACATCTCCTTGTAGAAACCTTCACTTTGCAAAAGCATAACTTGATTTGGAATATAGCTGAGTTGCACAAGCACTGCTCACAGTGTAGCCGATAGTCGACTGAGCAGTACAGCTAACTTTGGATTTCATTAAACTCTTCACAAAAATTTTGTGCTGAAAAATCCGAAAGGACCCACTTTTTTCCTCTTTCTGAGGGGGCAAAAAATGCAATTTTTTGACATTTTTGATTTTGTTCGCCGTTGACAAACCAGGAAATCTTTTCGTTCTTCTAGTAGCGGTTGTTCTAGCTCTAATCTTACTACATAGAGTAAAAGTTCCGCGATTGCAATATGTTTATGATTTTTATGCGACTTGAGGACCACAAAGACAGGTTATGTTTGAGCTTAAAATGTGTAGGTTCAAAAATTTTCTAAAATCATATCCCGATGAGCATTTCGTAGCACATGTCTCCAGCAAACATTATATATGTTTTGAAAAAATTTTGTTCTTTTGGCTGTAGATTTCACGGCGATAGAGCAACGAAGAAAATTTTCACATGTTTCGCTGTCTCTTCAAAGTACGCAACCACACAGCGAACAAAGATTTATGAAAACGAAAATATGCCTGAAAAACTAGAAGAAAAGATGTAAAGATGTAAGATGCTGTGTATGAAAAATGATTTCTTCCTCCAAAATCGGCAGTTCAAAAAAAGGTATCGAAAACGGGTAGAACTTTTGAAACAACCCAATATTATGCGACTACGGTCAAGTTTTCCTGCACACTAACTTCGTTGTCATTTGGCAGATAATTCCATAGTCACAGAGAGGTTCTGAAGCAGTTTTAGAAGGGGTTCAAGACAGTGACTTCATATAAACTTTGCAAAAGCTTGGTAGAGGTAATTAGAGCCCGGCATGAGTCCGTTCTGAAAGCAACTCATTTGAATTGTCTTTGTTCGGACTCACAAAACAATTTCCTTTTTGCTTTTCCGCCCGAAAACAAGTCCAGCCTGCTTCCAAACAATCTGTGCCGGGCCCTGAACGTAATCCCGCAAGTGACAAAATCTTCTGCTTCATCGAACTTTTTTGGTCAGCAGCGCTCTAATGGTCGCTTGAATCACTGCCGCAATTCACATTAAAATGAGGTCCCATAATTTTTTTAACCGTAAACTTCAGATGAACAATCTTCGCTAATTCTCAGATGTTACTAAATACCTGCTTTGATAATCTGCTTCGGCAAGCACATTCCTGTAACCGAGGGCATAGCCCACAAGTCACTTTTTTTGATAGCATGTATAGAATTCGATAATCGTAGCAGCTATCTTTTGCAAGCTTGAGTTACTCCACAAGCCTCTATTAGTAAACACATAACTATATCTCGCAAGGTCTTTTCTCGAAAAATCGTTATAAAAACTAACTTTCAACATCTTTCTTTACATTAGTACTGCTTTTATAAATCTAACTAAGTGAAATGTACAATCATGTTTTTTTACTGTGGTTCAACTGCGAATTCAAAGAAATGTCCGAATTGACGAACAGTTTACGAACGTTTGTGAACATACCCTCGTATGACAAGTCAATTTGTTCTTGTTTGCGAGCTTCTCCCGACGAATTCTGTTCTTCTTGGTGTGGCAGAATCTTGCCCTTAGAAGAAAATGCTGGTTCAGAGAACTCGTACGCTATCCACCCGCACATAAATTGCCAGACCCGAGATAGTAAGAAGCCATAGGATATCTGAAAAGGTACATTATAAATATACGGGAGGCGAGAGCTGCTAATACACTAATTTTTTACATTGTGCGTCTAAGCTGACGAAATTTGACAAACCACATTTAAAAACATCCAAAGATTTTAACGTTAGCAGTGAACTGGGAAGCTGTATCATGGTACATGTTTGAGCATGAGAAACTGTCGCTAAAAAGCTCTAGTTTTTCAAACTTCTGCGATTGAACTAGAAATTGAGAATTTCCTTATAGGCTGGTAAGGACGGTTCGGAATATAAATCAGTTTAGCAGAATTGTATCGTTTCATTGATTTTACCTTGCGTGGGGAACTAAAACATTCAAAAAATTGTTGTTGGTCAAGAGTTGGAAAACACATTTAATGGTGCTCAAGGCAGATTTTTTTCTTGACAGAAGTGTATACGTTTTAGAACAAATTTTTTTCATGATTGCTCTACTAGCGCCGATATTTTGAATTCATCAATTTCACCATGTATGAACTTAGCTTGTCTTTTTAAAACCTTCACACTATGGAAAATCAACAAACAGCGCCTCAGACGCGTCTGTGGTTTGTTCAAGCAAATGTATTCAAGAATCACTCAGTTCAAAGCAGTAGAACAAATTTTAAGGGCTGGAAGGTGACAGATCATTAACACGTATCCGACCGGTGCTGCACATGGCGCAGCACGCTGCTTTGAAGGATCTTACTGGCTTTTACAGGAGGTTTTCTTTCAGTTCAAAGTTGTTAAAAGCAGTGGATCGGCAAATTCCAACAACTCGGGATTTTAACGCGGTAGATTCCTTGTCGCGCAAACGCAGTTGCACAACATGCTTTCCCTGCCGAGAAAATCGCTCTCGAACTTACACTCGCAGGCCAATCTTACACGCATCTGGACGAGTTGGCAATTTCCTTTTCACCATTGGAGGCTGCCCGCCGCAACGCTACAACCATTGCGTCCTGCCATGATTTAGCGTCATCGGCCTTGCTCCCCTCGTCCAACATTGAAGGGAAGGGCATTGAAAAACGCTCATTTTCGCCGTTTTCAAGCTTGCAAAAGTAGATTTTCGAAATCAGTATATTGAAAAACCCCAGGTAAGCGCAAATTTGACTAGGTTGAGATTTGCCGAGCCACTGCCTTCAAGTCAAAGGTCTAAGCTCCTATTTTTCAAATGACTCTGTAGAGAGCTGTGCCGCGCATATTTGTTTAGGAGAAATGAGGACAAATTCAACAACAGTTGCAACGAAGTGCGGCAACGCGAACGACGCGTGCGACGTCGCGACTTTTCTTTGCTTCGATTCCAAAGAGAAAAACCGTAGTTTCAATTATGATATGTACCGTGTACAACATAGATATTTTGAATACTATTTAAAATGAGTTCTTACTCCTATCTTTCAAGAAAGCACAAAAGTCCCTCTCAATCGACAAAGTTCAAACACTTCGAATTCACTCAGAACTTTGGGTATGGAGCTTATCTGACATGCTGATTACAAATGTGGCCCACAGGCTGCGAAATAAGGTCCCTTTGTAGGCTAACCGCTAACGGCTAACGGCGTACACTATTTTTCGCCGCGCGCGATTTCGCGGTCCGAAACGTGTTAAAGGAGAGATGAACTTCGAACAGGACTATCAAACAAGTACGAATCAACAGTCAAAAATCTCTTTCTACCTACTTTCAGTACTCAATCACCATGAAAGCAAACCCCATGGTTTAGAACCATTTGAAAGGAAAAGAATAGAGAAGAACTTTAAAAGAATCCAAGATAAAGGATTAATAAGAAGAAGTAAGAAAACAAGCATAATAAATCAGCCTCGGAAAAGCCCAAGAAATCCGTAGCACCTAAAAGCCTGCAACAAAATACGATTATAATGCAACAAAATCAAAGAGGAATATCACTGTGTCGTTGAAGCATCTTGCACTGCTTTAGAACAGGTGACTGAATTTCATTCTGATGTGGCTTGATAGGTTTTAGATCCAGATTAAAACCTTAGTACCGTTAGGTTTGTAGATCCAAAATTTGCTAGCCTTCAATTTTCCACGTGAAGCAAGCGTGCAAAGAAAATGCAGATGTTACATCTTATAAGAGAAGTCAAGCACAAATTCATAGCTTTCAGGTGGCAGTCGAGAATTTTAGTTAGTGTTGTTACAATACTTATGCAATGGAAAAACAATTATCAGTATGTTGTGTTCCAAAAATCTTCAAATCTTTGTTAGGATTACACACTTGTGAACAACATCAAAGATTGGGGGTATTAAGCTGTGTATAAACTAGACAGTAAAGTCAGTAGATGTTCACGGCGAATGCAATATGCCTGCAAAATCTCAGTTCATATTCAATACTTCCAGATCTCAAACATCTTAGCAAGCACCCATCTCCATTCCATCAATGTTATATGAAGTCGAAAAACGCTCACCATGATGAGGCAGAAAAATTCGTTTAGGTTTAGAGAGTCATTGCAGTTACCATTCTATTAATCAAAAACTGCAATGCATTACAGACTATACAAGCATCCTATCCATTGTTAGATGAGTATATATTTGAGCTAATAAACATATGCAACATCACATTACTTTAAATGTTTCGGTCAGATTCAAAGCGTATATCGATATCAAAGGAGATAAAGCAGCTCCTTGAGGAGCTCCATTGGGACAAGAAATTTTTCGAGCAATAACCAATTTAAACGTGCCTATATTCTAGAATAAGACTCGAAAGTTTTTGTTGGAAAAATTGCACATAGCTTAACAGCAAACATTATTGTTCTCCAAACTTTAAGGACCTCGAAAAAAACATACATATCAAGCACTGGATAATGGAGATGAGGGCTTACTGCTTGAAATTATCACAAAGTTTTGTTCTTAAGTATGACCATACGCATCTAGATCATGGATCATGACGCGGACGCTAGAACGGAAAGGAAACTTCTAGAAAGAGAGGAAATTGCAATGAATGATACATGAAGCACTATAACTTGGTGTTTCAAGAATTCTGAGCAGGTTCTTGGTAACAGCCACCCCAAGAGATAATATCTGAATATCTATATAACCAATGGAAATGAACAAAGTAAAGTACTGCACTTTAATAGTTTGTTTCTGCTTTCTTATCACCTTGGGTAAAGGTCTAAAATAAGAATTTAACTCAAAGTATTGAAAATTTAAAGAAATTGCGAGGGTTACGTATACATAAAAGGGCATTCCAAAACCTGGCTTGAAAAGAAGCAAAAAACTGTATAGGATAGCCTCAAAGTTTTTGTTTTACCAGTGTGAAGTGCGTTTGTCCATTACTGCTGAAAAGGCTCAAACTGCCAAATTTTCTCACAAAGTGAGCAACAAACATATTGTGGATATCGGAAGCTCGCATTCTTTGAAACTGTTAAAACTGGATACGGCAAACCTTTTTGTTTTGGAAACCACAAATTGCGTTTTCTGTAAAAATGGACCTTTGTCTTGACTCGAGAGGAAAGATAAGAAATGTAAAATAAAGGTCAATTTACATATTCATTCCTTCAGCTATTAATTGACATACGGAACTTATTTATGTCAGCAAAATATAACGCAGTGTCCGTGGAGCATAGAGTTGGAAAATGACAGAAAGTACTCCAATCGTAAGGAACAATACAATGCGCGTATTGTGTTCAAGGCAGAATGCTATACCCATGATAAATGGTACAATAAGATAGTATTGTAATTCGACTCCGAGAGACCAGGCGTGCACAAAAAATCTATATGTCGAGAGCTAAATTTTTAATGGTCATAAACGCTGTAATGACAGCTGTGCAAGTTGGTGGTTAACTACCTGATCCCAATATCCAAGCTTCTGAAAAATGGGCTGTAGGTTAGAGCTGTATGTATATGCCCAAGTCAGATCGTCAAGGATTTGTTTGCGATCAGAACGCAATACGTAGAAGTAGCCAACTGCAAAAACATCAAAGATCTTGCACATTTGCGATTGATAGTGACTAGAATTCAGAACGAAGCAGCTGCGTGCATGAGCATGGCTTTTTCAAAGCATGTCAACCGCCAAGAAACACTGTCTTTACTTACAAATGTAAACGGATACGACGAATAATATGTACAGAGGTACAATCCTTTTGAATCTGCGGCTGTAAAAATAACAAATGGACCACAACGTAAGTTTCCTTTCAAGGAGAATCTTGGCCATCAGGAAGCCAGAAAGAACAAAGAAGCTAAATTTCAATTCTGCAAAATCGTACGGAAATCTGAATGATAAATTTACATGTCCACTCCCACGAATCCAAGGCGATATGAATTTGGTTTCAAGTGCATCACAAGCACAAATAAGATGGCTATTCCTCTCAGTCCTTGAAGGTCTGCACGTTTTTGCATTATAGACGCTGTAGCACTGAGTCTGAAAGCAGATCAAAAACTTTTTCATTTTTAAACCTGGGCATTTTAATATGTGTCAGTAGTTGAATTGATTGTTGTGCCGAAACCAGGTTTCTTGGTGGATGTTTATTCGACCGACGTTTCGACGTGCTCGTCTTTGTCAAGAGGTCTGAACGCGTAAATTATAGATTTTTGGATCTGGCCAGTACGCCGCCAAGAGCCTCCTCCACAAGTGCTTGTCTAGACCTTATCGGAGGATAGCAGCCAGCGGGAAAACCATCAAAGTTGTGAAGCGAGCCAACCTTAACTCCACCACATACCAGTAAGTCCGCACAATGAGACAATAGCGGACGTCACTGAGGGTCGCCCATTGAGTCAGCTGTATTTATGTGCTGCTGTACAGTTTGCATAGCGGTATGAACGGCAAAAGGTCACTGTTGATTGACACGCATTCATTTTTAGCATTCATTCTAGAATTTCTCGTAAGTGTCCATGCTGCTTTAGGCCCCGGACAGACTTCACGCGATTTGATCGTCGCGACTGAATCGCGACGAGACAACTGTTACAACATCATTCCATGCCGATCAACTTGCATTTCGGTGTGATAGTTTTTCAGCCCGAAATTTTAGAATGTGAAATGAAAATGAATGGAAATGTCGGCGATTGAGTCGCGACGATCAAATCGCGTGAAGTCTGTACGGGGCCTTGCGGTACTTTTTTGCGCAAATCTCAGTCTCGCAAGAGAGAATGGTACATTTGACTTCAAAGTCATTTCCACCATGTGTTTCAGCTTTGTGTCTTCCCAACGGTGCTGTTAAAATCCCACGTCTTTTAGCCAAATGTTCCTTTAATCTTACATCCAACGCTCTACCCGTTCTCCTATGTAGCAGTCTTGGTAGCTCACACATTCCAACTGGTATATTACACTTGCCTTTGCACAATCCCCAACATTGCCGTACGGGCATACGATGCATTCATCTGCTATGCATTCGTAATCGTAGAGGTATCGGAACGTGCAAAAGTTCTGCATCTATGTTCAATTGTTACATATCCGTTACTCTGAGCAACTTTTAATGCCAGCTTTCGTGATTTGAGCTGGTCTTCGTGGCCTTTACATACGCTGTAGCAGTTTTCATCATGTTGCGAATGACCGCTTGTTTTGTTGTGCAGGGTGAGCTGACTTGGCGTGGATCAAGGTGTTTTTGGATGCTTCCTTACGATACCATTCAACATGGAGTACACTGTCAGACAATCTGACTTGTGTGTTCACCGTATGTATTGGGACTTTTGGTTCAAAATCGCAAAGTAATCATCCATTTCAGTTTTATTTTTCGGCAATGTGGGGGACTGTGCAAAGGCAGGTGTAATAGCAATGTGGAGATTGTGCAAAGGCAGGTGTAGTATACCAGTTGGAATGTTTGAACTGCCAAAACTACTACATAGGAGAGACCGGTAGAGCGTTGGGTGCATGATTAAAAGAACATGCACCGCTGGGAAGACACAAAGCTGGGGCACATGGTGGAAATGACTTTAAAGCCAAACGTACCATTTTGTCTTACGAGAATAAGATTTGCGCAGGAAAGATCCTTGAGGCAGCATGGATATTTAAGAGTAATTCTAAAATGAATGCTAAAAATGAATGTGTGTCAATCAACAGTGACCTTTTGACCTTACTGGTTGACACTCAGTGACTTCCGTTATTGTCCCATTGTGCGGACTTACTGGTATGTGGTGGAGTTAAGGTTGGCTCGTTTCACAACTTCGATGGTTTTCCCGCTGGCTGCTATGCTCCGATAAGGTCTAGACAAGCACCGACAAGCACTTGTGGAGGAGGCTTTTGGCGGCGTACTGGCCAGATCCAAAAACCTATAATTTACGTTCAAACCTCTTGAAATGACGAGCACGTCGAAACGTCGGTCGAATAAACATCCACCGAGAAACCTGGTTTCGGCACAACAGTCAACCACTAACACATATTTGGTCTAGAAGTTCAAGACGACATGGTTTGAACGCTGTAATGTATAATTACACAAACTTTGTTCCTTGAGAAACTTTTGTCTTGCATAGCGCTGATACATCGAACCGAAAAGCTTCATACTCAAAAATAACCTGGAAAAGCATAGAATCGATGACGGCATCAAAGTGCAAAAGTTTTGCAGGCCCGCTCAGTAGTCGCTTGGTCAGTCATGACAGCTCACAAAACGATTTGTACCCCAAGGAAAATTTAGTATTGCGCAAAATGGGTATTGTGTTGTCTTAACAGTTCTACTCGTTTTTCATACCTCTTCTTAAACTGCTGACTTTGAAGAAGTGAACCGTTGACATTGATCTTCGGTTTTCACAAAACTTTGTCCACTTTGTTTTATTTATATTGTAGGACAGCAAAACAAATGTGAAACTTTTTTCTTGCTCTATTTTCGTGAAAACGACGCTTGAAGAGGAGGCTTTTTCAAAATAGATAAACGTCTGTTAGTGACTTGTGCTACGGAGTGCTTAAGCTATAATTCCAAGAAAATTCTGAACTCGTCAAGAATTAGCGCAAACGTGACCTATCGTTACGATCCAGCTTCGCAAAGTGATAAGGTCAATGCAATCACGGAACTTTGCTGTATTTGGTAAGCTTAGAGGCCTAAAACATTCCACAATTTGAAAAATGTAAAAAATTCCATTTGTAAACGACGAAAACAACGGGATTTCGCAGGGAAATCCACGCTGCTTCAACGGTTTTCCTCACTGTAATCTCTGGCCTCGTATGACAAAATAGTGTACTTAACGTCATATTCACCGCCTTATGCGTTTCTATTCTGTGTCTTCCCAGCGGTGACATTGCACTTGCTCGTCTTTTTGCTGCTAGATGCTCCTTAAAGGCAGCGTCCGGGCAAAACCTCGACTTCCCTGTTTCTAGCGTTTCTTGCTTTTTCGACGCCCCTGAATCTAAATCCGAACTGAGAATTGCTTGAAATCTCCAAAACCCCCGTTTCTGGAACCCTATTTTAATAATCGCAGACGAAAGTTCCGAAATTTATCTGGTGTAGTGACACGTGAAAACATGTGTCAAAGGTAGAAACACTACGTGTAACGACACGTCAAAGGGGCGCGTCAAACATGTAAGCTCTTCTTCGTAGGCGTAAGGGGAGCGGAAGGAGGAAGGGGAGCGGCACTTGACCCGCCCACCTGACTTTCAGAATTCACATTCTCGGGGCGGACTTGCTGTTTTGTCTTAGTTGAGGGGGATCCTGTCGAAATGTGACAGCATCTGAGGTAGGTCAATTTTGCCCGGACGCTGCCTTTAAGTCTAAAATTCAGCAGTCTACCCGTTTCTCCGATATATTCGCCTTGCAATTCAGGCACTCCAATTCATACACTACTCCTGCCTTCGCGCAATCACCTACTTTTCCGTATGGGCAGACAATACACTGTATTGTCTGCCAATACGGAAAACGCCAATATGCCAATATGTATCAAACTGCTATAAGTGTATGCACAGGTGATCAAGAACGACTCGAGTCCGTAAGACTGGCTACACAAATTGCGCGTAGCAATGGTTACTCTCTGTCGTGGATTGCGCGACTTCTTCAAGGAGTCCGCTTCTCGTGCGCGAAGGGGTCCTAAAACGCCAGTCCTCGCGCGCTGCCCGCCCTTTCGCTAGCTACTTATGCCGCAACTCACCTGCTTAAAGTCACGTGCGCCACATGTGTCTACTCGCGAGCGGTCGGCTTCAATTCTCTTCAACTATCGATCGATCAAGCAGTGCACCGTTTTTCCAACCCACGCGAAGAACACCACCACCACGCATAGAGGACTGGCACGTAAAGAACCTCGAGGTAACCTGGTTGGTGTTTCTTGCTTGCCGCAGGGCAAGCAGGGCAAAGGAGTACCTCCGCGGGGGGTTTTCTTTCTACCGGCCAATAGGTTGCATCTTGGCCGGCATGTGCTCATCATATTGTAATGAGTTGTTTGTGTGTTGGTTAAGATCCGGATAAATGGTGGGCACCTTAAGAGTTTTAGTGTTTGTACGAGTGTTGGGCTTGGGGCTTAGGCCCCAGCCCCATGAATATCTGTGTGCTATCTATATCTGTTGTGTGTTCATAAGGTGTCGACGTCCTGAAGGGTTCCATCGGATCAAGGAGTAGCGCGATACTAGTTAAGTGCCTAACTTGCTAGTGATCCACAACTGCCAGCAGTGTTTGGGGCGGTCTGAGAAGCTGGCAGTTGAGATTGGGGGGGGGGGGGTAGGTTGGTAGCCTAGGGCCACTAGATGCTAGTGTATCCGTGTTTGGCAGGCCATAAGAGGATGGCGCAAGCTTGCTACCCTTCCACATGTGTCGTTGTTCTGCTTCACAGAATGGCGTCCTCAGCTCCCCTCGCCGATGCAGGAGAGCACTTACCACTGATGTTTGGAGCTGGGGACCCCAATCCGCGACACTTGCCACAGCGTTTAAGCTGCGCTTCCAAGTTTGCGAACAGTAGCCACGCTCAGGATAACAAGGTGCCCTTGTGTATGCCTTTCGTTTCCGATGAAATCAGTGCAGCAATTAAACAATGTATAAGGCGAGCACAACTGCAAAATGACGTTATGCTTGTGAATATTCCGAATGAGAGCATCAAAAAGCAGTTGGTAAGGAAGAGGCTCTATGACGCAGAATGTCTATCAGATCAGTGTATTGTCTGCCCATACGGAAAAGTATTAATTGCGCGAAGGCAGGAGTAGTTTATGATGGAGTTTGAACTACAAGGCGACATAAATCGAAAAACGGGTAGATTGCTGAATGTTAGACTTAAGGAGTATCTAGCGGCAAAAAGACGAGCAAATGCACTGTCACCGTTGGTAAGACACAGAATAGAAACGCACAACAGCGGTGAATTTGACGTTAAGTGCACTATTTTGTAATGCGAGGCAGAGATTACCGTGAGGAAAACCGTTAAAGCAGCGTGGATTTCTCTCAGAAATCCTACTTGAACAACAAAAATGAATGTGTATCAATGACAGCCGAACTCTT